CCCGTGTCTCTCTCACCCCGTGTCTCTCTCACCCCGTGTCTCTCTCTCTCACCCCGTGTCTCTCTCACCCCGTGTCTCTCTCACCCCGTGTCTCTCTCTCCCCCGTGTCTCTCTCTCTCCCCCCGTGTCTCTCTCTCTCCCCCCGTGTCTCTCTCTCTCCCCCCGTGTCTCTCTCTCTCCCCCCGTGTCTCTCTCTCTCCCCCCGTGTCTCTCTCTCTCACCCCGTGTCTCTCTCCCCGTGTCTCTCTCTCCCCGTGTGTCTCTCTCTCCGTGTCTCTCTCTCTCACCCCGTGTCTCTCTCACCCCGTGTCTCTCCCCCCGTGTCTCTCTCCCTCGGTGTCTCTCTCCGTGTCTCTCTCCGTGTCTCTCTCCCCCCGTGTCTCTCTCACCCCGTGTCTCTCTCACCCCGTGTCTCTCTCCCCCCGTGTCTCTCTCTCTCACCCGTGTCTTTCTCACCCCGTGTCTCTCCCCCCGTGTCTCTCTCTCTCCGTGTCTCTCTCCCTCCGTGTCTCTCTCCCTCGGTGTCTCTCTCCGTGTCTCTCTCCGTGTCTCTCTCCCCCCGTGTCTCTCTCCCCCCGTGTCTCTCTCACCCCGTGTCTCTCTCACCCCGTGTCTCTCTCACCCCGTGTCTCTCTCTCTCACCCCGTGTCTCTCTCCCCGTGTCTCTCTGCCCGTGTGTCTCTGTCCCCGTGTCTCTCTCCCCGTGTCTCTCTCACCCCGTGTCTCTCTCCCCCCGTAGTCTCTCTCTCTCACCCCGTGTCTCTCTCCCCGTGTCTCTCTGCTCGTGTGTCTCTGTCCCCGTGTCTCTCTCCCCGTGTCTCTCCCCCCGTTTCTCTCTCTCCGTGTCTCTCTCCGTGTCTCTCTCAGCCCGTGTCTCTCTCCCCGTGTGTCTCTCTCCCCCCGTGTCTCTCTCCCCGTGTCTCTCTCACCCCGTGTCTCTCTCACCCCTTGTCTCTCTCCCCGTGTCTCTCTCCCCCCCGTGTCTCTCTCACCCCGTGTCTCTCTCCTCACCGTGTCTCTCTCACCCCGTGTCTCTCTCTCCCCGTGTCTCTCTCCCCCCGTGTCTCACCCCGTGTCTCTCTCACCCCGTGTCTCTCTCCCCGTGTCTCTCTCACCCCGTGTCTCTCTCCCCGTGTCTCTCTTCCCCCGTGTGTCTCTCTCTGTGTCTCTCTCACACCGTGTCTCTCTCTCACCCCGTGTCTCTCTCCCCGTGTCTCTCTCTCCCCCGTGTCTCTCTCACCCCGTGTCTCTCTCTCTCCCCGTGTCTCTCTCCCCGTGTCTCTCCCTCCCCGTGTCTCTCCCTCCCCGTGTCTCTCCCTCCCCGTGTCTCCCCATGTCTCCCCGTGTCTCTCTCTCCCCGTGTCTCCCCGTGTCTCTCTCTCCCCGTGTCTCCCCGTGTCTCTCCCTCCCCGTGTCTCTCTCCTCGTGTCTCCCCGTGTCTCTCTCTCCCCGTGTCTGTCTCTCCCCATGTCTCTCCCTCCCCGTGTCTCCCCACCCACCCACGACCCCAACCCCACCCCCCACGCCAGACCCTGGTGGTGCCGCTATTCTTCAACCTCGCTCCCCGTGTCTCTCTCTCTCACCCCCGTGTCTCTCTCACCCCGTGTCTCTCCCCGTGTCTCCCTCCCGTGTCTCCCCACCCACCCCCACTCCAGACCCTGGTGGTGCCGCTATTCTTCAACCTCGCTCCCCGTGTCTCTCTCACCCCGTGTCTCTCTCACCCCGTGTCTCCCCGTGTCTCCCCGTGTCTCTCTCACCCCCGTGTCTCTCACCCCATGTCTCCCCGTGTCTCTCTCTTCCCGTGTCTCCCCGTGTCTCCCCGTGTCCCTCCCTCCCCGTGTCTCTCTCTCTCCCCGTGTCTCTCTCTCTCTCTCCCCGTGTCCCCGTGTCTCTCTCTCCCCGTGTCTCTCACCCCGTGTCTCTCTCACTGTGTCTCTCTCTCCCCGTGTCTCCCCACCCACCCCCCACTCCAGACCCTGGTGGTGCCGCTATTCTTCAACCTCGCTCCCCGTGTCTCTCTCTCACCCCCGTGTCTCTCTCTTCCCGTGTCTCCCCGTGTCTCCCCGTGTCTCTCTCACCCCCGTGTCTCTCACCCCATGTCTCCCCGTGTCTCTCTCTTCCCGTGTCTCCCCGTGTCTCCCCGTGTCTCTCCCTCCCCGTGTCTCTCTCCCCGTGTCTCTCTCCCCGTGTCTCCCCGTGTCTCTCCCTCCCCGTGTCTCTCTCTCTCCCCGTGTCTCTCTCACCCCGTGTCTCTCTCTCACCCCGTGTCCCCGTGTCTCTCTCTCCCCGTGTCTCTCTCTCCCCGTGTCTCTCTCTCCCCGTGTCTCTCTCTCCCCGTGTCTCTCTCACCCCGTGTCTCTCTCTCACCCCGTGTCTCTCTCTCCCCGTGTCTCTCTCTCACCCCGTGTCTCTGTCACCCCGTGTCTCACCCCGTGTCTCTCTCCCTGTGTCTCTCTCCCCGTGTCTCTCTCCCCGTGTCTCTCCCTCCCCATGTCTCTCTCCCCGTGTCTCTCTCCCCGTGTCTCTCTCTCCCCGTGTCTCTCTCACCCCGTGTCTCTCTCCCCCCGTGTCTCTCTCTCTCCCCGTGTCTCTCTCTCTCACCCCGTGTCTCCCCACCCACCCCCCACGCCAGACCCTGGTGGTGCCGCTGTTCTTCAACCTCGCTCCCCGTGTCTCTCTCTCACCCCGTGTCTCTCTCCCCGTGTCTCTCTCTCACCCGTGTCTCTCTCTCTCCCCGTGTCTCTCTCTCTCTCCCCGTGTCTCCCCACCCACCCCCCACGCCAGACCCTGGTGGTGCCGCTGTTCTTCAACCTCGCTCCCCGTGTCTCTCTCTCACCCCGTGTCCCCGTGTCTCTCTCCCCGTGTCTCTCTCCCTCCCCGTGTCTCCCCACCCACCCCCACGCCAGACCCTGGTGGTGCCGCTGTTCTTCAACCTCGCTCCCCGTGTCTCTCTCTCACCCCGTGTCTCTCTCCCCGTGTCTCTCTCTCACCCCGTGTCTCTCTCTCTCCCCGTGTCTCTCTCTCCCCGTGTCTCCCCACCCACCCCCCACGCCAGACCCTGGTGGTGCCGCTGTTCTTCAACCTCGCTCCCCGTGTCTCTCTCTCCCCGTGTCTCTCTCTCACCCCGTGTCCCCGTGTCTCTCTCTCACCCGTGTCTCTCTCTCCCCGTGTCTCTCTCTCACCCCGTGTCTCTCTCTCACCCGTGTCTCTCCCTCCCCGTGTCTCCCCACCCACCCCCCACTCCAGACCCTGGTGGTGCCGCTGTTCTTCAACCTCGCTCCCCGTGTCTCTCTCACCCCGTGTCTCTCCCCCCGTGTCTCTCTCTCCCCGTGTCTCTCTCTCACCCCGTGTCCCCGTGTCTCTCTCTCACCCGTGTCTCTCTCTCCCCGTGTCTCTCTCTCACCCCGTGTCTCTCTCTCACCCGTGTCTCTCCCTCCTCGTGTCTCCCCACCCACCCCCCACTCCAGACCCTGGTGGTGCCGCTGTTCTTCAACCTCGCTCCCCGTGTCTCTCTCTCACCGTGTCTCTCTCACCGTCTCTCTCTCCCCGTGTCTCACTCCCCGTGTCTCCCCGTGTCTCTCTCACCCCGTGTCTCTCTCTCTCTCACCCCGTGTCTCCCCACCCACCCCCCACTCCAGACCCTGGTGGTGCCGCTGTTCTTCAACCTCGCTCCGGCCCCCGCGCGGTGTGGGGAGAGCATCGGCTCAGCGTTGTCTGGCGTCTCTGGGGGGCCCGGCGGAGTCTCTGGGGGGCCCGGCGGAGTCTCTGGGGGGCCCGGCGGAGTCTCTGGGGGGCCCGGCGGAGTCTCTGGGGGGCAGGAGGAGGCGGGGACGGCGCAGGGGGTGGACGGAGCACGCAGGCAGACCCACAATGCCGTGGAGAAACGCTACCGCCTCTCCATCAACGACCGCATCGGAGAGCTCCGTGGGATCCTCACCGGGGGAGATAAGGTGCCGTGGGTGGGTGGGGGGGTGAGTGGGTGGGGGGGTGAGTGGGTGGGTGGGTGGGGGAGTGGGTGGATGGGGGGGTGGGTGAGTGGGTGGGTGGGTGAGTGGGTGGGGGAGTGGGTGGGGGAGTGGGTGGGTGGGTGAGTGGGTGGGTGGGTGAGTGGGTGAGTGGGTGGGGGAGTGGGTGGGTGAGTGGGTGGGTGGGTGAGTGGGTGAGTGGGTGGGGGAGTGGGTGGGGGAGTGGGTGGGTGGGTGAGTGGGTGAGTGGGTGGGTGGGTGAGTGGGTGGGGGAGTGGGTGGGTGAGTGGGTGGGTGGGTGAGTGGGTGGGTGGGTGGGAGAGTGGGTGAGGGAGTGGGTGGGTGGGTGGGTGAGTGGGTGGGTGGGGGGGTTGGTGGGTGGGTGGGTGAGTGGGTGGATGGGGGGGTGAGTGGGTGAGTGGGTGGGTGAGTGGGTGGGGGCGTGAGTGGGTGCGTTAGTGAGTGAGTCACTGGGTGAGTGAGTGGGTCACTGGGTGAGTGAGTGGATGAGTGGGTGAGTGAGTGGGTGGATGAGTGGGTGGATGAGTGGGTGAGTGAGTGAGTCACTGGGTGAGTGAGTGAGTGACTGGGTGAGTGAGTGAGTGACTGAGTGCGTGAGTCACTGGGTGAGTGAGTGACTGAGTGAGTGAGTGACTGAGTGAGTGAGTGACTGAGTGAGTGAGTGAGTCACTGACTGAGTGAGTGAGTCACTGACTGAGTGGGTGAGTCACTGAGTGACTGAGTGAGTGAGTCACTGAGTGAGTGACTGAGTGAGTGAGTGAGTCACTGAGTGACTGAGTGAGTGAGTGGGTGACTGAGTGAGTGACTGAGTGAGTGGGTGAGTGAGTGAGTGAGTGACTGAGTGAGTGACTGAGTGAGTGGGTGAGTGAGTGAGTGAGTGACTGAGTGACTGAGTGAGTGAGTGACTGAGTGAGTCACTGAGTGACTGAGTGAGTGACTGAGTGACTGAGTGAGTGAGTCACTGAGTGACTGAGTGAGTGACTGAGTGAGTGACTGAGTGACTGAGTGAGTGAGTGACTGAGTGAGTGAGTGAGTCACTGAGTGACTGAGTGAGTGGGTCACTGAGTGAGTGAGTCACTGAGTGAGTGACTGAGTGAGTGAGGTTCACCGTGTCCCACCAGATGAGTAAGTCGGCAGTCCTGAGCCGCACCATCGACTACATCCGCTCGCTGCAGCAGCTGAACGTTCGCCTGCGTCGCGAGAACCGGGAGCTGAGACGCTCCACTCGGACGGGAGGGGGAGCAGGTACAGGGCACAGAGAGAGACACGTGGGGGAGAGAGACACGTGGGGAGAGACACAGGGAGAGAGACACGTGGGGAGAGACACGTGGGGAGAGACACAGGGAGAGAGACACAGGGAGAGAGACACGGGGAGAGAGAGAGATGGAGAGAGAGACACGGGGAGAGAGACACGGGGAGAGAGACACGGGGAGAGAGACACGTGGGGGAGAGAGACACGTGGGGGAGAGACACGGGGAGAGAGACACGGGGGGAGAGAGACACGGGGAGAGAGACACGTGGGGAGAGAGACGCAGGGAGAGAGACACGTGGGGAGAGAGACACGTGGGGGGAGAGAGACACGTGGGGGAGAGAGACACGGGGGGAGAGAGACACGTGGGGGAGAGACACGTGGGGGGAGAGAGACACGTGGGGGAGAGAGACACGGGGGGAGAGAGACACGTGGGGGAGAGAGACACGGGGAGAGAGACACATGGGGGAGAGAGACACGGGGAGAGAGAGACACGGGGAGAGAGAGACACGGGGAGAGAGACGCAGGGAGAGAGACACGTGGGGAGAGAGACACGGGGGGAGAGAGAGACGGGGAGAGAGACACAGGGAGAGAGACACGTGGGGGAGAGCGACGCGGGGAGAGAGACACGTGGGGGAGAGAGACACGTGGGGGAGAGAGACACGGGGGGAGAGAGACACAGGGAGAGAGACACAGGGAGAGAGACACGGGGAGAGAGAGACACGGGGAGAGAGAGAGACACGGGGAGAGAGACGCAGGGAGAGAGACACAGGGAGAGAGACACAGGGAGAGAGACACGTGGGAGAGAGTCACGGGGGGAGAGAGACACGTGGGGGAGAGAGACACGTGGGGGAGAGAGACATGGGGGGAGAGAGACACGGGGGGGGAGAGACACGTGGGGGAGAGAGACACGTGGGGGAGAGAGACACGTGGGGGAGAGAGACACGTGGGGAGAGAGACACGGGGAGAGAGACACGGGGAGAGAGACGTGGGGGAGAGAGACACGTGGGGGAGAGAGACACAGGGGGAGAGAGACACGGGGGGAGAGAGACACGTGGGGGAGAGAGACACGTGGGGGAGAGAGACACGTGGGGGAGAGAGACACGTGGGGAGAGAGACACGGGGAGAGAGACACGGGGAGAGAGACACGTGGGGAGAGAGACACGGGGGGAGAGACACGTGGGGGAGAGAGACACGTGGGGGGAGAGAGACACGTGGGGAGAGAGACACGTGGGGAGAGACACGTGGGAAGAGAGACACGTGGGGGAGAGAGACACGGGGAGAGAGACACGTGGGGGAGAGAGACACGTGGGAGAGAGAGACACGGGGAGAGAGAGACACGGGGAGAGAGACACGGGGAGAGAGACACGTGGGGGGGAGAGAGACACGTTGGAGGGAGAGAGACACGTGGGGATAGAGACACAGGGAGAGAGACACGTGGGGGGAGAGAGACACAGGGAGAGAGACACGGGGGGAGAGAGACACGGGGAGAGAGACACGTGGGGGGAGAGAGACACAGGGAGAGAGACACGTGGGGGAGAGAGACACGTGGGGGGAGAGAGACACGTGGGGGAGAGAGACACGTGGGGAGAGAGACACGTGGGGAGAGAGACACGTGGGGGAGAGAGACACGTGGGGGAGAGAGACACGGGGAGGGGAGAGACACGTGGGGGAGAGAGAGACACGGGGGGGAGAGAGACACGTGGGGAGAGAGACACGTGGGGGAGAGAGACACGTGGAGAGAGACACGTGGGGGAGAGAGACACGGGGAGAGAGACACGTGGGGAGAGAGAGACTCGTGGGGAGGGGAGAGACACGTGGGGGAGAGAGACACGTGGGGGGAGAGAGACACGTGGGGGGAGAGAGACACGTGGGGAGAGAGACACGGGGAGAGAGACACGGGGGGGAGAGAGACACAGGGAGAGAGACACGTGGGGGGAGAGAGACACGGGAGGGAGAGAGACAGGGAGAGAGACACGTGGGGGGAGAGAGACACGTGGGGAGAGAGACACGTGGGGGAGAGAGACACGTGGAGAGAGACACGTGGGGGAGAGAGACACGGGGAGAGAGACACGTGGGGGAGAGAGACACGGGGGGGAGAGAGACACGGGGGGAGAGACACGGGGAGAGAGACACGTGGGGGGGAGAGAGACACGTTGGAGGGAGAGAGACACGTGGGGATCGAGACACAGGGAGAGAGACACGTGGGGGGAGAGAGACACAGGGAGAGAGACACGGGGGGACAGAGACACGGGGAGAGAGACACGTGGGGGGAGAGAGACACAGGGAGAGAGACACGTGGGGGAGAGAGACACGGGGAGAGAGACACGTGGGGGGAGAGAGACACAGTGAGAGAGACACGGGGGGAGAGAGACACGGGGAGAGAGACACGTGGGGGGAGAGAGACACAGGGAGAGAGACACGTGGGTGAGAGAGACACGTGGGGGGAGAGAGACACGTGGGGGAGAGAGACACGTGGGGAGAGAGACACGTGGGGAGAGAGACACGTGGGGGAGAGAGACACGTGGGGGAGAGAGACACGTGGGGAGAGAGAGACACGTGGGGAGGGAAGAGACACGTGGGGGAGAGAGACACGTGGGGGGAGAGAGACGTGGGGGGAGAGAGACACGGGGAGAGAGACACGGGAGGGAGAGAGACACAGGGAGAGAGACACGTGGGGGGAGAGAGACACGGGAGGGAGAGAGACACAGGGAGAGAGACACGTGGGGGGAGAGAGACACGTGGGGAGAGAGACACGTGGGGGAGAGAGACACGTGGAGAGAGACACGTGGGGGAGAGAGACACGGGGAGAGAGACACGTGGGGGAGAGAGACACGGGGGGGAGAGAGACACGGGGGGAGAGAGACACGGGGGGGAGAGAGACACGGGGGGAGAGAGACACGGGGGGAGGGAGACACGTGGGGGAGAGAGACACGGGGGGGAGAGAGACACGGGGGGGAGAGAGACACGGGGGGAGAGAGACACGGGGAGAGACACGTGGGGCCGAGAGAGACACAGGGAGAGAGACACGTGGGTGAGAGAGACACGTGGGGGGAGAGAGACACGGGGGGGAGAGAGACACGGGGGGGAGAGAGACACGGGGGGAGAGAGACACGGGGGGGAGAGAGACACGGGGGGAGAGAGACACGGGGGGAGGGAGACACGTGGGGGAGAGAGACACGGGGGGGAGAGAGACACGGGGGGAGAGAGACACGGGGGGAGAGAGACACGAGGAGAGAGACACGTGGGGGGAGAGAGACACAGGGAGAGAGACACGTGGGTGAGAGAGACACGTGGGGGGAGAGAGACACGTGGGGGAGAGAGACACGTGGGGAGAGAGACACGTGGGGAGAGAGACACGTGGGGGAGAGAGACACGTGGGGGAGAGAGACACGTGGGGAGAGAGAGACACGTGGGGAGGGGAGAGACACGTGGGGGAGAGAGACACGTGGGGGGAGAGAGACGGGGGGGGAGAGAGACACGGGGAGAGAGACACGGGAGGGAGAGAGACACAGGGAGAGAGACACGTGGGGGGAGAGAGACACGGGAGGGAGAGAGACACAGGGAGAGAGACACGTGGGGGGAGAGAGACACGTGGAGAGAGACACGTGGGGGAGAGAGACACGGGGAGAGAGACACGTGGGGGAGAGAGACACGGGGGGGAGAGAGACACGGGGGGAGAGAGACACGGGGGGGAGAGAGACACGGGGGGAGAGAGACACGGGGGAGGGAGACACGTGGGGGAGAGAGACACGGGGGGGAGAGAGACACGGGGGGGAGAGAGACACGGGGGGAGACAGACACGTGGGGAGAGAGACACGGGGGGGAGAGAGACACAGGGAGAGAGACACGTGGGGGGAGAGAGACACGTGGGGAGAGAGAGACACGTGGGGGAGAGAGACACGTGGGGGGAGAGAGACACGTGGGGGGAGAGAGACCCGTGGGGGAGAGAGACACGTGGGGGGAGAGAGACACGTGGGGGGAGAGAGACACGTGGGGAGAGAGAGACACGTGGGGTGGTGAGAGAGAGAGAGAGACACGTGGGGTGAGAGAGACACGTGGGGAGAGAGAGACACGTGGGGTGAGAGAGAGACACGTGGGGTGGAGAGAGACACGTGGGGGGGAGAGAGACACGTGGGGGAGAGAGACACGTGGGGAGAGAGAGACACGTGGGGGGAGAGAGACACGTGGGGGGAGAGAGACACGTGGGGGGAGAGAGACACTTTGGGAGAGAGACACGTGGGGAGAGAGACACGGGGAGAGAGACATGTGGTGGAGAGACACGTGGGGAGAGAGAGACACGTGGGGGAGAGAGACGTGGGGGGAGAGAGACACGTGGGGGAGAGAGACACGTGGGGGAGAGAGACACAGGGAGAGAGACACGTGGGGGGAGAGAGACACGTGGGGAGAGAGAGACACGTGGGGGAGAGAGACACGTGGGGGGAGAGAGACACGTGGGGGGAGAGAGACACGTGGGGGGAGAGAGACACGTGGGGGAGAGAGAAACGTGGGGGGAGAGAGACACGTGGGGGGAGAGAGACACGTGGGGGAGAGAGACACGTGGGGAGAGAGACACAGGGGGAGAGAGACACGTGGGGAGAGAGACACGTGGGAGAGAGACACGTGGGGGAGAGAGACACAGGGGGAGAGAGACACGTGGGGGGAGAGAGACACGTGGGGGGAGAGAGACACTTTGGGAGAGAGACACTTTGGGAGAGAGACACGTGGGGAGAGAGACACGGGGAGAGAGACATGTGGTGGAGAGACACGTGGGGAGAGAGAGACACGTGGGGGAGAGAGACGTGGGGGGAGAGAGACACGTGGGGAGAGAGAGACACGTGGGGGAGAGAGACACGTGGGGGGAGAGAGACACGTGGGGGGAGAGAGACACGTGGGGGAGAGAGACACGTGGGGGGAGAGAGACACGTGGGGGGAGAGAGACACGTGGGGGGAGAGAGACACTTTGGGAGAGAGACACGTGGGGAGAGAGACACAGGGGGAGAGAGACACGTGGGGAGAGAGACACGTGGGAGAGAGACACGTGGGGGAGAGAGACACAGGGGGAGAGAGACACGTGGGGGGAGAGAGACACGTGGGGGAGAGAGACACGTGGGGAGAGAGACACGTGGGGGAGAGAGACACGTGGGGGAGAGAAACACGTGGGGGGAGAGAGACACGTGGGGGAGAGAGACACGTGGGGGAGAGAGACACAGGGGGAGAGAGACACGTGGGGAGAGAGACACGTGGGGGGAGAGAGACACGTGGGGGAGAGATAGACACGGGGAGAGAGACACGTGGGGGGAGAGATACACGTGGGGGAGAGAGACACGTGGGGGAGAGAGACACGTGGGGGAGAGAGACACGTGGGGTAGAGAGACACGTGGGGGAGAGAGACACAGAGAGAGACACGTGGGGGAGAGAGACGTGGGGGAGAGAGACACGTGGGGGGAGAGAGACACGTGGGGGAGAGAGACACAGGGAGAGAGACACGTGGGGGGAGAGAGACACGTGGGGGAGAGAGACACGGGGGGGAGAGAGACACGTGGGGGGAGAGAGACACGTGGGGGAGAGAGACACAGGGGGAGAGAGACACGTGGGGGAGAGAGACACAGGGGGAGAGAGACACGTGGGGGAGGGAGACACAGGGGGAGAGAGACACGTGGGGGAGAGAGACACAGGGGGAGAGAGACACGTGGGAGGAGAGAGACACGTGGGGGGAGAGAGACACGTGGGGAGAGAGACACGTGGGGGAGAGAGACACGTGGGGGAGAGAGACACAGGGAGAGAGACACGTGGGGGAGAGAGACACAGGGGGAGAGAGACACGTGGGGGAGAGAGACACGGGGAGAGAGACACGTGGGGGAGAGAGACACAGGGGGAGAGAGACACGTGGGGGAGAGAGACACAGGGGGAGAGAGACACGTGGGGGGAGAGACACGTGGGGTGAGAGACACGTGGGGGGAGAGAGACACGTGGGGGGAGAGAGACACGTGGGGAGAGAGACACGTGGGGGAGAGAGACACGTGGGGGAGAGAGACACAGGGAGAGAGACACGTGGGGGAGAGAGACACAGGGGGAGAGAGACACGTGGGGGAGAGAGACACGTGGGGGAGAGAGACACGTGGGGGAGAGAGACACGTGGGGGAGAGAGACACGTGGGGGAGAGAGACACGTGGGGGAGAGAGACACGTGGGGGAGAGAGACACGTGGGGGAGAGAGACACGTGGGGGAGAGAGACACGTGGGGAGAGAGACACAGGGGGAGAGAGACACGTGGGGAGAGAGACACGTGGGAGAGAGACACGTGGGGGAGAGAGACACGGGGGGAGAGAGACACGTGGGGGGAGAGAGACACGTGGGGGAGAGAGACACGTGGGGGAGAGAGACACGTGGGGGAGAGAGACACGTGGGGAGAGAGACACGTGGGGGAGAGAGACACGTGGGGTGGTGAGAGAGACACGTGGGGAGAGAGAGAGAGACACGTGGGGTGGTGAGACACGTGGGGGGAGAGAGACACGTGGGGGAGAGAGAGACACGGGGAGAGAGACACGTGGGGGGGAGAGAGACACGTGGGGGAGAGAGACACGTGGGGGAGAGAGACACGTGGGGGAGAGAGACACGTGGGGGAGAGAGACACGTGGGGGAGAGAGACACAGGGAGAGAGACACGTGGGGGAGAGAGACACAGGGGGAGAGAGACACGTGGGGGAAAGAGACATGGGGAGAGAGACACGTGGGGGAGAGAGACACAGGGGGAGAGAGACACGTGGGGGAGAGAGACACAGGGGGAGAGAGACACGTGGGGGGAGAGACACGTGGGGTGAGAGACACGTGGGGGGAGAGAGACACGTGGGGGGAGAGAGACACGTGGGGAGAGAGACACGTGGGGGAGAGAGACACGTGGGGGAGAGAGACACAGGGAGAGAGACACGTGGGGGAGAGAGACACAGGGGGAGAGATACACGTGGGGGAGAGAGACACGGGGAGAGAGACACGTGGGGGAGAGTGACACGTGGGGGAGAGAGACACGTGGGGGAGAGAGACACGTGGGGGAGAGAGACACGTGGGGGAGAGAGACACGTGGGGGAGAGAGACACGTGGGGGAGAGAGACACGTGGGGGAGAGAGACACGTGGGGGAGAGAGACACGTGGGGAGAGAGACATGTGGGGGGAGAGAGACACGTGGGGGAGAGAGACACGTGGGGGAGAGAGACACGTGGGGGAGAGAGACACGTGGGGAGAGAGACACGTGGGGGAGAGAGACACGTGGGGGAGAGAAACACGTGGGGGAGAGAGACACGGGGGGGAGAGAGACACAGGGGGAGAGAGACATGTGGGGGGAGAGAGACACGTGGGGGAGAGAGACACGTGGGGGAGAGAGACACGTGGGGAGAGAGAGACACAGGGAGAGAGACACGTGGGGTGAGAGACACGTGGGGGAGAGAGACACGTGGGGGAGAGAGACACGTGGGGGGAGAGAGACACGTGGGGGAGATAGACACGTGGGGGGAGAGAGACACGTGGGGTGAGAGACACGTGGGGGGAGAGAGACACGTGGGGGGAGAGAGACACGTGGGGAGAGAGACACCTGGGGGAGAGAGACACGTGGGGGAGAGAGACACAGGGAGAGAGACACGTGGGGGAGAGAGACACAGGGGGAGAGATACACGTGGGGGAGAGAGACACGGGGAGAGAGACACGTGGGGGAGAGAGACACGTGGGGGAGAGAGACACGTGGGGGAGAGAGACACGTGGGGGAGAGAGACACGTGGGGGAGAGAGACACGTGAGCGAGAGAGACACGTGGGGGAGAGAGACACGTGGGGGAGAGAGACACGTGGGGGAGAGAGACACGTGGGGGAGAGAGACACGGTGGCGTGTGATTGGGCGGTTCCTTTTTTTCCCAGAGTTCCCGGCGGGCGAGGGGGAGGGGCGACATCCTCTGACAACCGCCATGGATACGACTGGAACCCAGGTACCCCCCTATTGGTGGAGAAGTAGGCCAAGTTACCTGTCAGCTACAGCACCACCACCCCTAGTGGTGGAGTAGTAGGCCAAGTTACGTGTCAGCTACAGCACCACCACCCCCTAGTGGTGGAGTAGTAGGCCAAGTTACCTGTCAGCTACAGCACCACCACCCCTAGTGGTGGAGTAGTAGGCCAAGTTACCTGTCAGCTACAGCACCACCACCCCTAGTGGTGGAGTAGTAGGCCAAGTTACCTGTCAGCTACAGCACCACCACCCCTAGTGGTGGAGTAGTAGGCCAAGTTACGTGTCAGCTACAGCTACACCACCCTAGTGGTGGAGTAGTAGGCCAAGTTACCTGTCAGCTACAGCACCACCACCCCTAGTGGTGGAGTAGTAGGCCAAGTTACCTGTCTGCTACAGCACCACCACCCCCTAGTGGTGGAGTAGTAGGCCAAGTTACCTGTCAGCTACAGCACCACCACCCTAGTGGAGTAGTAGGCCAAGTTACCTGTCAGCTACAGCACCACCACCCCTAGTGGTGGAGTAGTAGGCCAAGTTACCTGTCAGCTACAGCACCACCACCCCTAGTGGTGGAGTAGTAGGCCAAGTTACCTGTCAGCTACAGCACCACCACCCCTAGTGGTGGAGAAGTAGGCCAAGTTACCTGTCAGCTACAGCACCACCACCCCTAGTGGTGGAGTAGTAGGCCAAGTTACGTGTCAGCTACAGCACCACCACCCCCTAGTGGTGGAGTAGTAGGCCAAGTTACCTGTCAGCTACAGCACCACCACCCTAGTGGTGGAGTAGTAGGCCAAGTTACCTGTCAGCTACAGTACCACCACCCCTAGTGGTGGAGTAGTAGGCCAAGTTACCTGTCAGCTACAGCGTCACCCCTAGTGGTGGAGTAGTAGGCCAAGTTACCTGTCAGCTACAGCACCACCACCCTAGTGGTGGAGTAGTAGGCCAAGTTACCTGTCAGCTACAGCACCACCACCCTAGTGGTGGAGTAGTAGGCCAAGTTACCTGTCAGCTACAGCACCACCACCCCTAGTGGTGGAGTAGTAGGCCAAGTTACCTGTCAGCTTCAGCACCACCACCCTAGTGGTGGAGTAGTAGGCCAAGTTACCTGTCAGCTACAGCACCACCACCCCTAGTGGTGGAGTAGTAGGCCAAGTTACGTGTCAGCTACAGCACCACCACCCCCTAGTGGTGGAGTAGTAGGCCAAGTTACCTGTCAGCTACAGCACCACCACCCTAGTGGTGGAGTAGTAGGCCAAGTTACCTGTCAGCTACAGTACCACCACCCCTAGTGGTGGAGTAGTAGGCCAAGTTACCTGTCAGCTACAGCGTCACCCCTAGTGGTGGAGTAGTAGGCCAAGTTACCTGTCAGCTACAGCACCACCACCCCTAGTGGTGGAGTAGTAGGCCAAGTTACCTGTCAGCTACAGCACCACCACCCCCTAGTGGTGGAGTAGTAGGCCAAGTTACCTGTCTGCTACAGCACCACCACCCCCTAGTGGTGGAGTAGTAGGCCAAGTTACCTGTCAGCTACACCACCACCACCCTAGTGGTGGAGTAGTAGGCCAAGTTACCTGTCAGCTACAGCACCACCACCCTAGTGGAGTAGTAGGCCAAGTTACCTGTCAGCTACAGCACCACCACCCCTAGTGGTGGAGTAGTAGGCCAAGTTACCTGTCAGCTACACCACCACCACCCTAGTGGTGGAGTAGTAGGCCAAGTTACCTGTCAGCTACAGCACCACCACCCTAGTGGAGTAGTAGGCCAAGTTACCTGTCAGCTACAGCACCACCACCCTAGTGGAGTAGTAGGCCAAGTTACCTGTCAGCTACAGCACCACCACCCTAGTGGAGTGTGTGGTGTTGTAAGGAATGGTCCATTGGGTTTTGTATGAAAACACCAACCCCTGTCTACACCCCCCTCTCCCCCCCCCCCACGTGACCCCCCCCACGTGACTCCCCCCCACGTGACTCTCCCCCCCACGTGACTCTCCCCCCCACGTGACTCCCCCCCCACGTGACTCTCTGCCCCCCACGTGACTCTCTGCCCCCCACGTGACTCTCTGCCCCCCACGTGACTCTCCCCCCCACGTGACTCTCCCCCCCACGTGACTCTCCCCCCCACGTGACTCTCCCCCCCACGTGACTCTCCCCCCCACGTGACTCTCTCCCCCCCACGTGACTCTCCCCCCCACGTGACTCTCTCCCCCCCACGTGACTCTCTCCCCCCCCCCACGTGACTCTCCCCCCCACGTGACTCTCTCCCCCCCACGTGACTCTCCCCCCCACGTGACTCTCCCCCCCATGTGACTCTCCTCCCCACGTGACTCTCCCCCCCACGTGACTCTCTCCCCCCCACGTGACTCTCCCCCCCACGTGACTCTCCCCCCCATGTGACTCTCCCCCCCACGTGACTCTCCCCCCCCACGTGACTCTCCCCCCCATGTGACTCTCCTCCCCACGTGACTCTCCCCCCCCACGTGACTCTCCCCCCCCCATGTGACCCCCCCCACGTGACTCTCCCCACCATGTGACTCTCCCCCCCACGTGACTCTCCCCCCCCACGTGACTCTCTCCCCCCCATGTGACTCTCCCCCCCATGTGACTCTCCCCCCCATGTGACTCTCCCCCCCATGTGACTCTCCCCCCCCACGTGACTCTCTCCCCCCCATGTGACTCTCCCCCACGTGACTCTCTCCCCCCCATGTGACTCTCCCCCCCATGTGACTCTCTCCCCCCCATGTGACTCTCCCCCCCACGTGACTCTCCCCCCCACGTGACTCTCTCCCCCCCATGTGACTCTCCCCCCCACGTGACTCTCTCCCCCCCATGTGACTCCCCCCCCCACGTGACTCTCTCCCCCACGTGACTCTCCCCCCATGTGACTCTCTCCCCCACGTGACCCCTCCCCACGTGACTCCCCCCCCCACGTGACTCTCTCCCCCACGTGACTCTCCCCCCACGTGACTCTCCCCCCCACGTGACTCTCTCCCCCACGTGACTCTCCCCCCATGTGACTCTCTCCCCCACGTGACCCCTCCCCACGTGACTCTCCCCCCACGTGACTCTCCCCCCCACGTGACTCTCTCCCCCACGTGACTCTCCCCCCACGTGACTCTCCCCCCCCACGTGACCCCTCCCCACGTGACTCTCCCCCCCACGTGACTCTCTCCCCCACGTGACTCTCTCCCCCCCCCCACGTGACTCTCTCCCCCCCCCACGTGACCCCCCAGGCGTCGTCGTCACTGCTGAGGCGGTCTTCTCCCCCGCTGCGTGACCGCCCCCGCCTGCTGCTCTGCCTGGCCGCCCTCCTCCTCCTCCCACGTGACCCCCCTCCCACGTGACCCCCCCACGTGACCCCCCCCCCACGTGACTCTCCCCCCCCCCCCCACGTGACCCCCCAGGCGTCGTCGTCACTGCTGAGGCGGTCTTCTCCCCCTCTGCGTGACCGCCCCCGCCTGCTGCTCTGCCTGGCCGCCCTCCTGTGCCTCGTCGTCAACCCACTCTCATACCTCACACAGCAGCCACAGCTGCAACCACAGCAACCACTGCAACCACTGCAACCACAGCTGCAACCACAGCTGCAACCATCGCAACCACAGCTGCAACCACAGCTGCAACCATCGCAACCGCTGCAACCACAGCTGCAACCGCTGCAGGCTCAGCAGGCGCTGATGGGACGCAGCATTCTCAATGCCCACTCAGGTTCTCACGCAACCACCGCAACCACCGCAACCATCGCAATCGTCGCAATCGACGCAATCGTCGCACGCAATCGCACGCAACCATCGCAATCACCACAACTACTGCAACCACCACAACCATCGCAACTACTGCAACCATCGCAACTACTGCAACCACCACAACCATCGCAACTACTGCAACCATCGCAACCACTGCAACCATCGCAACTACTGCAACCTCCCTCTCCTCATCCCCCTCTCAGTGTCTCCTCCCTACCCCGTGGTGGTGGTGGTGGTGATGGTGTTTGTGATGGTGCTAGTAGTGATGATGGTGATGATGGTGGTGATGGTGGTGTTGGTGTTTGTGATGATGGTGTTTGTGATGGTGGTAGTAGTGATGATGGTGGTGGTGGTGGTGATGGTGGTGATGGTGTTGGTGTTTGTGATGGTGGTGTTTGTGATGGTGGTAGTAGTGATGATGGTGATGATGGTGGTGATGGTGGTGTTGGTGTTTGTGATGATGGTGTTTGTGATGGTGGTAGTAGTGATGATGGTGATGGTGGTGTTGGTGTTTGTGATGATGGTGTTTGTGATGGTGGTAGTAGTGATGATGGTGATGATGGTGATGGTGGTGTTGGTGTTTGTGATGGTGGTGTTTGTGATGGTGGTAGTAGTGATGATGGTGATGATGGTGGTGATGGTGTTGGTGTTTGTGATGGTGGTGTTTGTGATGGTGGTAGTAGTGGTGATGGTGATGATGGTGGTGATGGTGTTGGTGTTTGTGATGGTGGTGTTTGTGATGGTGGTAGTAGTGATGATGGTGGTGGTGGTGATGGTGGTGATGGTGTTGGTGTTTGTGATGGTGGTGGTAGTGATGATGGTGGTGGTGGTGGTGATGGTGGTGATGGTGTTGGTGTTTGTGATGGTGGTGTTTGTGATGGTGGTAGTAGTGATGATGGTGATGATGGTGGTGATGGTGGTGTTGGTGTTTGTGATGATGGTGTTTGTGATGGTGGTAGTAGTGATGATAATGGTGATGATGGTGTTGATGGTGTTTGTGATGATGGTGTTTGTGATGGTGGTAGTAGTGATGATGGTGATGATGGTGGTGATGGTGTTGGTGTTTGTGATGGTGGTGTTTGTGATGGTGGTGGTAGTGATGATGGTGGTGGTGGTGATGGTGGTGATGGTGTTGGTGTTTGTGATGGTGGTGTTTGTGATGGTGGTAGTAGTGATGATGGTGATGATGGTGGTGATGGTGGTGTTGGTGTTTGTGATGATGGTGTTTGTGATGGTGGTAGTAGTGATGATAATGGTGATGATGGTGTTGATGGTGTTTGTGATGATGGTGTTTGTGATGGTGGTAGTAGTGATGATGGTGATGATGGTGGTGATGGTGGTGTTGGTGTTTGTGATGATGGTGTTTGTGATGGTGGTAGTAGTGATGATGGTGATGGTGGTGGTGATGGTGTTTGTGATGATGGTGTTTGTGATGGTGGTAGTAGGGATGATGGTGATGATGGTGATGGTGTTTGTGATGGTGGTGTTTGTGATGGTGATGATGGTGATGGTGTTTGTGATGCTGGTAGTGATGATGGTGTTTGTGATGGTGGTGGTAGTGGTAGTAGTGATGGTGATGGTGTTTGTGATGGTAGTGGTAGTAGTGATGGTGATGGTGTTTGTGATGATGGTGATGGTGGTGTTTGTGATGGTGATGGTATTTGCGATGGTGATGGTGTTTGTGATGTTGGTAGTGATGATGATGGTGATGGTGTTTGTGATGGTGTTTGTGATGCTGGTAGTGATGATGCTGATGGTGATGGTGTTTGTGATGCTGTAGGTAGTAGTGATGGTGATGGTGTTTGTGATGATGGTGATGGTGTTTTTGATGATGATGGTGTTTGTGATGGTGATGATGATGTTGGTAGTGGTGATGGTGTTTGTGATGTTTGCTCCTCCACCTCTCCGCGTCTTCCGCCAGACGCCCAGGAGGATTCTCTCTCCCCACCGACACCACCAGCGTGGTGGTGGTGGTGGTGTCGTGGTGTTTGTGATGGTGGTGATGGTGTTTGTGATGATGGTGATGGTGGTGTTGGTGTTTGTGATGATGATGATGGTAGTGGTGATGGTGATGATGGTGATGGTGTTTGTGATGGTGATGATGGTGATGGTAGTGTTTGTGTTGGTGTTTGTGATGGTGATGATGGTGATGGTAGTGTTTGTGTTGGTGTTTGTGTTGGTGTTTGTGATGGTGATGATGGTGATGGTGGTGTTTGTGATGTTTGCTCCTCCACCTCTCCGCGTCTCCCGCCAGACGCCCAGGAGGAGTCTCTCTCCCCACCACCACCACCAGCGTGGTGGTGGTGGTGGTGGTGTCGTGGTGTTTGTGATGGTGATGATGGTGTTTGTGATAATGGTGATGGTGGTGTTGGTGTTGGTGTTTGTGATGGTGTTTGTGATGTTGGTAGTGATGATGGTGATGATGATGATGATGGTGTTTGTGATGGTGATGATGGTGATGGTGGTGTTTGTGTTGTTTGCTCTTCCACCTCTCCGCGTCTCCCGCCAGACGCCCAGGAGGATTCTCTCTCCCCACCACCACCACCAGCGTGGTGGTGGTGGTGGTGTCGTGGTGTTTGTGATGGTGTTTGTGATGTTGGTAGTGATGATGGTGATGATGATGATGGTGTTTGTGATGGTGATGATGGTGATGGTGGTGTTTGTGTTGTTTGCTCTTCCACCTCTCCGCGTCTCCCGCCAGACGCCCAGGAGGATTCTCTCTCCCCACCACCACCACCAACGTGGTGGTGGTGGTGTCGTGGTGTTTGTGATGGTGTTTGTGATGGTGTTTGTAATGGTGATGATGGTGATGGTGTTTGTGATGTTGGTAGTGATGGTGATGATGGTGATGTTTGTGATGTTTGTGCTGTTTGCTCCTCCACCTTTCCGCGTCTCCCGCCAGACGCCCAGGATGATTCTCTCTCCCCACCACCACCACCGACACCACCACCGCCACCAGCAGCGCGGTGGTGGTGGTGGTGGTGTCGTGGTGCGGTGTTTGTGATGGTGATAGTGTTTGTGATGGTGATGATGGTGATGATGGTGGTGATGGTGATGGTGTTTGTGATGTTTGTGGTGTTTGTGATGATGGTGATGATGGTGATGATGTTTGTGATATTGGTAGTGATGGTGATGGTGTTTGTGATGTTTGCTCCTCCACCTCTCCGCGTCTCCCGCCAGACGCCCAGGATGATTCCCTCTCCCCACCGCCACCACCAGCGTGGTGGTGGTGGTGGTGTCGTGGTGCGGTGTTGGCGCTGCTGAACGCCGTGTTGGCGCTGCTGGTGCTTGCCGCCTTGCTGCTGGGCGGCGGTCCGGTCGTGGCTCCCTCCTCAGCCGGGGCGACGCTCTACTGGAGGCACCGGAGGCAGGCCGAGGCAGACATGGCGAGGGTGAGCTCGCTGGCCGGCGTCAGTGCCGGCGTCAACGCCCTCGTCGGCAACATCGTCACCACCAACACCAACATCATCATCATCTTCATCATCGTCAACATCGTCACCATCAACAACATCATCATCTTCATCATCATCGTCACCACCAACAACATCATCATCATCATCGTCACCACCACCATCATCAACTACTATCATCGTCACCACCAACAACAACAACATCATCATCTTCATCATCGTCAACATCGTCACCACCACCAACATCATCATCGTCATCGTCACCACCAACAACAACATCATCATCATCATCGTCACCACCAACAACATCATCATCATCATCATCATCGTCACCACCAACAACATCATCAACCACTATCATCATCACCACCAACAACATCATCATCTTCTTCATCATCATCATCATCGTCACCACCAACAACATCATCATCATCGTCACCACCAACAACATCATCATCATCATCGTCACCACCAACAACATCATCATCATCATCATCATCGTCACCACCAACATCATCATCTTCATCATCATCGTCACCACCAACAACATCATCATCATCACCACCTACACCACCACGATCATCTTCATCATCATCGTCACCACCAACAACATCATCATCATCTTCATCATCATCGTCACCACCAGCAACATCTTCATCATCATCGTCACCACCAACAACAACAACATCATCATCTTCATCATCATCGTCACCACCAACAACATCATCATCATCACCACCTACACCACCACGATCATCTTCATCATCATCGTCACCACCAACAACATCATCATCATCATCATCGTCACCACCAACATCATCATCGTCATCGTCACCACCTACACCACCACGATCATCGTCATCATCATCATCATCGCCATCACTACCACTATCATCGTCACCACCAACAACATCATCATCTTCATCATCATCATCGTCACCACCAACAACATCTTCATCATCATCGTCACCACCAACAACATCATCATCTTCATCATCATCGTCACCACCAACACCATCATCATCTTCATCATCATCGTCACCACCAACACCACCACTATGATCGTCACCATCACCACCAACAACATCATTATCTTCACCACCACCACCATCATCGTCACCACCACCATCATCAACTACTATCATCGTCACCACCAACAACAACATCATCATCATCATCGTCACCACCAACAACATCATCATCATCGTCACCACCAACACCACCACGATCATCGTTATCATCATCGCCATCACCACCATTATCATCGTCACCACCTCCACCACTATCATCGTCATCTTCATCATCACCGCCATCACCACCACCATCATCACCACCATCACCACCACCACTATCATCATCACCACCACCATCATCGTCATCTTCATCATCACCGCCATCACCACCACCACTATCATCACCACCATCACCACCACCACTATCATCACCACCATCACCACCACCACTATCATCATCATCACCACCACCATCATCGTCATCTTCATCATCACCGCCATCACCACCACCACCACTATCATCACCACCATCACCACCATCATCGTCACCACCACCACCATCATCATCACCACCACCACCACCACCAACATCATCGTCATCATCAACCACTATGATCGTCACCACCACCACCAACATCATCGTCACCACCACCACCATCACTATTATCGTCACCACCACCAACATCATCATCATCATCATCGTTGTCACCACCACTTTCATCATCACCACCACCACCAACATCATCATCATCATCACTGCATTCACCACCAATATCATCATCATCACCGCGATCACCACCACCACTATCATTGTCACCACCACCAACATCATCATCACCACCACCACTATCACCACCACCACCACCACTATCACCACCACCACCACCACTATCATCACCACCACCACCACTATCACCACCATCATCATCACCATCATCACCACCACCACCATCATCGTCACCACCACCATCATCGTCACCACCAACAACAACATCATCGTCACCACCACCACCACCAACATCACTATCATCACCTTCTCTGCTGGTGATGGTGGTGATGCTGATGCTGGTGGTGATGCTGATGGTGGTGGTGGTGATGATGGTGGTGATGATGATGACGCTGATGATGATGCTGATGATGGTGGTGATGCTGATCGTGGTGATGATGCTGATGGTGGTGGTGATGGTGGTGGTGGTGATGATGCTGATGGTGGTGGTGATGGTGGTGGTGGTGATGCTGATGATGATGATGATGCTGATGATGGTGATGATGATGATGCTGATGATGATGCTGGTGATGATGATGGTGATGATGATGGTGATGCTGGTGGTGCTGGTGGTGATGATGCTGGTGATGATGATGCTGGTGATGGCGGTGATGATGATGGTGATGATTATGGTGATGATGGTGATGATGGTGATGCTGATGGTGGTGGTGATGGTGGTGATGATGGTGGTGATGATGATGATGGTGATGATTATGGTGATGATGGTGATGATGGTGATGCTGATGATGATGGTGGTGGTGATGGTGGTGATGATGGTGGTGATGATGATGATACTGGTGATGATGATGATGGTGATGATGGTGATGATGATGATGATTGCAGGGAGACTTTGCGTCGAGTGGTGCTCACCTGCGTGCTGGTGATGATACTGATGATGATGATACTGGTGATGATACTGATGATGATGGTGATGATGATACTGGTGATGATGATACTGATGATGATGATGGTGATGATGATACTGGTGATGATGATACTAATGATGATGATGATGGTGATGATGATACTGGTGATGATGATACTGGTGATGATGATACTGGTGATGATACTGATGATGATGATACTGGTGATGATGGTGATGATGATGCTGGTGATGATGATGCTGATGATGATGATGATTTCAGGGAGACTTTGCGTCGAGTGGTGCTCACCTGCGTGCTGGTGATGATACTGATGCTGATGCTGGTGATGATGATGATGGTGATGATGATGCTGATGATGATGATTGCAGGGAGACTTTGCGTCGAGTGGTGCCCACCTCCGTGCTTGCCTCGGGGCGCTGGGAAGGCCGTTGCCAACTTCCAACTCAGACCTGGCATGTGGCCTGTTACTGGCTGGCCTACGTGTCCTGGCACGTCGACTCTCTTACTCACCACGTGGTGAGCTCAGTCAGTCACTCACTCAGTCACTCAGACACTCACTCAGTCAGTCACTCACTCAGTCACTCACTCAGTCAGTCAGTGACTCAGTCAGTCACTCAGTGACTCAGTCAGTCACTCAGTCAGTCAGTCACTCACTCAGTCAGTCACTCAGTCACTCACTCAGTCACTCAGTCACTCACTCAGTGACTCAGTCAGTCACTCAGTGACTCAGTCAGTCACTCAGTCAGTCAGTCACTCACTCAGTCAGTCACTCAGTCACTCACTCAGTCACTCAGTGACTCACTCAGACCTGGCGTGCGGCCGGCTGGACTACGTGTGTTGGCACGTCGACTCTCTTACTCACCACGTGGTGAGTAAGAGAGTCACTCAGTCACTCACTCAGTCACTCACTCAGTCACTCACTCACTCACTCAGTCAGTCAGTCACTCACCCACTCACCCACTCACTCACCCACTCACTCACTCACTCAGTCACTCACTCAGTCACTCAGTCACTCACTCAGTCAGTCACTCAGACACTCACTCAGTCACTCAGTCAGTCACTCAGTCAGTCACTCACTCAGTCAGTCACTCAGTCAGACACTCAGTCACTCACTCAGTGACTCACTCACTCAGTCAATCAGTCAGTCACTCACTCAGTCACTCACTCAGTCACTCAGTGACTCACTCAGTCACTCAGTCACTCACTCAGACACTCAGTCAGTCACTCACTCAGACTCTCAGTCAGTCACTCACTCAGTCACCCAGTCAGTCACTCACTCACTCAGTCACTCACTCACCCACTCACCCAGTCAGTCACTCAGTCACTCACTCAGTCACTCACTCACTCAGTGACTCACTCAGTCAGTCACTCACTCAGTCAGTCACTCAGTGACTCACTCACTCACTCAGTCACTCACTCACTCAGTCACTCACTCACTCAGTCACTCAGTCAGTCACTCACTCACTCAGTCACTCAGTCAGTCACTCACTCACTCAGTCACTCAGTCAGTCACTCAGTGATCCACTCAGACCTGGCGTGTGGCCTGTTACTGGCTGGTCTACGTGTTCTGGCACGTCGACTCTCTCACTCACCACGTGGTGAGTGACTCACTCAGTCAGTCACTCAGTCAATCACTCACTCAGTCAGCCAGTGACTCACTCAGTCACTCAGTCACTCACTCACTCAGTCACTCAGTCACTCAGTCAATCAGTCACTCACTCAGTCACTCACTCACTCAGTCAGTCAGTCACTCAGTCACTCAGTCACTCAGTCAGTCACTCACTCACTCAGTCACTCAGTAACTCAGTCACTCAGTCACTCACTCAGTTCGTCACTCACTCAGTCAGTCACTCAGTCACTCAGTCAGTCACTCACTCAGTCACTCAGTCACTCACTCACCCACTCACCCAGTCACTCACCCAGTCACTCACTCAGTCACTCACTCAGTCACTCAGTCACTCAGTCAGTCACTCACTCAGACACTCAGTCAGTCGGTCACTCAGTCAGTCACTCAGTTAGTCACTCAGTCAGTCACTCAGTGACTCACTCAGTCAGTCAGTCACTCACCCAGTCACTCACTCAGTCAGTCAGTCACTCAGTCACTCACTCAGTCACTCAGTCAGTCACTCAGTCACTCACACAGTCACTCACTCAGTCACTCAGTCACTCACTCACTCAGTCACTCAGTCAGTCACTCAGTCACTCAGTCAGACACTCAGTCACTCATTCAGTCAGTCACTCAGTCACTCATTCAGTCACTCACTCAGTCACTCACTCAGTCACTCAGTCACTCAGTGTCACTGTGTTGATGGTGTAATGACCATGGACTATCCACTGCTGGATGGTGGTGGTGTTCTATCTACTGCTGGATGGTTCTCACACTGTGTGTGTGATGTTCTATCTACTGCTGGATGACTCTCACACTGTGTGTGTGATGTTCTATCTACTGCTGGATGACTCTCACACTGTGTGTGTGATGTTCTATCTACTGCTGGATGACTCTCACACTGTGTGTGTGGTGTTCTATCTACTGCTGGATGACTGTCACACTGTGTGTGTGGTGTTCTATCTACTGCTGGATGACTCTCACACTGTGTGTGTGGTGTTCTATCTACAGCTGGATGACTCTCACACTGTGTGTGTGGTGTTCTATCTACTGCTGGATGACTCTCACACTGTGTGTGTGGTGTTCTATCTACTGCTGGATGACTGTCACACTGTGTGTGTGATGTTCTATCTACTGCTAGATGACTCTCACACTGTGTGTGATGTTCTATCTACTGCTGGATGACTGTCACACTGTGTGTGTGATGTTCTATCTACTGCTGGATGACCCTCACACTGTGTGTGATGTTCTATCTACTGCTGGATGACACTCACACTGTGTGTGTGATGTTCTATCTACTGCTGGATGACCCTCACACTGTGTGTGATGTTCTATCTACTGCTGGATGACACTCACACTGTGTGTGTGATGTTCTATCTACTGCTGGATGACTCTCACACTGTGTGTGTGATGTTCTATCTACTGCTGGATGACTCTCTCACTGTGTGTGTGATGTTCTATCTACTGCTGGATGACTCTCACACTGTGTGTGTGATGTTCTATCTACTGCTGGATGACTCTCACACTGTGTGTGTGTTGTTCTATCTACTGCTGGATGACTCTCACACTGTGTGTGTGATGTTCTATCTACTGCTGGATGACTCTCACACTGTGTGTGTGATGTTCTATCTACTGCTGGATGACTCTCACACTGTGTGTGTGTTGTTCTATCTACTGCTGGATGACTCTCACACTGTGTGTGTGATGTTCTATCTACTGCTGGATGACTCTCACACTGTGTGTGTGTTGTTCTATCTACTGCTGGATGACTCTCACACTGTGTGTGTGATGTTCTATCTACTGCTGGATGACTCTCACACTGTGTGTGTGATGTTCTATCTACTGCTGGATGACTCTCACACTGTGTGTGTGGTGTTCTATCTACTGCTGGATGACTCTCACACTGTGTGTGTGGTGTTCTATCTACTGCTAGATGTCACACTGTGTGTGTGATGTTCTATCTACTGCTGGATGACTCTCACACTGTGTGTGTGATGTTCTATCTACTGCTGGATGACTGTCACACTGTGTGTGTGGTGTTCTATCTACTGCTGGATGACTGTCACACTGTATGTGTGGTGTTTTATCTACTGCTGGATGACTCTCTCACTGTGTGTGTGGTGTTCTATCTACTGCTGGATGACTCTCACTCTGTGTGTGTGGTGTTCTATCTACTGCTGGATGACTCTCACACTGTGTGTGTGATGTTCTATCTACTGCTGGATGACTCTCACACTGTGTGTGTGATGTTCTATCTACTGCTGGATGACTCTCACACTGTGTGTGTGTGTGATGTTCTATCTACTGCTAGATGTCTCACTTTGTGTGTGATGTTCTATCTACTGCTGGATGACTCTCACACTGTGTGTGTGATGTTCTATCTACTGCTGGATGTCTCTCACACTGTGTGTGTGGTGTTCTATCTACTGCTGGATGTCTCTCACTGTGTGTGTGGTGTTCTATCTACTGCTGGATGACTCTCTCACTGTGTGTGTGATGTTCTATCTACTGCTGGATGACTCTCACACTGTGTGTGTGATGTTCTATCTACTGCTGGATGACTGTCACACTGTGTGTGTGGTGTTCTATCTACTGCTGGATGACTCTCACACTGTGTGTGTGATGTTCTATCTACTGCTGGATGACTCTCACACTGTGTGTGTGTTGTTCTATCTACTGCTGGATGACACTCACACTGTGTGTGTGATGTTCTATCTACTGCTGGATGACACTCACACTGTGTGTGTGATGTTCTATCTACTGCTGGATGACTCTCACACTGTGTGTGTGATGTTCTATCTACTGCTGGATGACTCTCACACTGTGTGTGTGATGTTCTATCTACTGCTGGATGACTCTCACACTGTGTGTGTGATGTTCTATCTACTGCTGGATGACTCTCACACTGTGTGTGTGTGGTGTTCTATCTACTGCTGGATGACTCTCACACTGTGTGTGTGATGTTCTATCTACTGCTGGATGACTCTCACACTGTGTGTGTGGTGTTCTATCTACAGCTGGATGACTCTCTCACACTGTGTGTGTGATGTTCTATCTACTGCTGGATGACTCTCACACTGTGTGTGTGATGTTCTATCTACTGCTGGATGACTCTCACACTGTGTATGTGGTGTTCTATCTACTGCTGGATGACTCTCACACTGTGTGTGTGTGGTGTTCTATCTACTGCTGGATGACTCTCACACTGTGTGTGTGTGATGTTCTATCTACTGCTGGATGACTGTCACACTGTGTGTGTGATGTTCTATCTACTGCTGGATGACTCTCTCACTGTGTGTGTGATGTTCTATCTACTGCTGGATGACTCTCACGCTGTGTGTGTGATGTTCTATCTACTGCTGGATGACTCTCACACTGTGTGTGTGATGTTCTATCTACTGCTGGATGACTCTCACACTGTGTGTGATGTTCTATCTACTGCTGGATGACTCTCACACTGTGTGTGTGGTGTTCTATCTACTGCTGGATGACTCTCACACTGTGTGTGTGTTGTTCTATCTACTGCTGGATGACTCTCACACTGTGTGTGTGGTGTTCTATCTACTGCTGGATGACTCTCACACTGTGTGTGTGGTGTTCTATCTACTGCTGGATGACTCTCACACTGTGTGTGTGGTGTTCTATCTACTGCTAGATGACACTCACACTGTGTGTGTGATGTTCTATCTACTGCTGGATGACACTCACACTGTGTGTGTGGTGTTCTATCTACTGCTGGATGACTCTCACACTGTGTGATGTTCTATCTACTGCTGGATGACTCTCACACTGTGTGTGATGTTCTATCCACTGCTACAGGACGTGTGGGCGAGTCTCAGCAGTGTGCACGTGATGCTGGCCTGGCCTACCACTGCCTCCATCAGCTCTACCTCACCGGTGAGGGCAGCCGCACACACTCCTCATGAATATTCATGGGGAGGGCGGGGCTCATTAATATTCATGGGGAGGGTAGGGGCTCATGCATATTCATGGGGAGGGTAGGGCTCATGAATATTCACGGGGAGGGCGGGGCTCATGAATATTCATGTAAAGGGCAGGGCTCATTAATATTCATGGGGAGGGCGGGGCTCATGAATATTCATGTAAAGGGCAGGGCTCATTAATATTCATGGAGAGGGCGGGGCTCATGAATATTCATGGAGAGGGCGGGGCTCATGAATATTCATGGGGAGGGCGGGGCTCATTAATATTCATGGGGAGGGCGGGGCGCATAAATATTCATGGAGAGGGCGGGACTCATGAATATTCATGGGGAGGGCGGGGCTCATGAATATTCACGGAGAGGGCGGGGCTCATGAATATTCATGTAAAGGGCAGGGCTCTTTAATATTCATGGGGAGGGCGGGGCTCATGAATATTCATGTGGAGGCCGGGGCTCATGAATATTGATGGAGAGGGCGGGGCTCATGAATATTCATGAGGAGGGCTGGGCTAATTAATATTCATAGGGAGGGCGGGGTCATTAATATTCATGTGGAGGGCAGGGCTCATGAATACTCATTGGGAGGGCGGGGCTCATGAATATTCATGGAGAGGGCGGGGCTCATAAATATGCATGGGAGGGCGGGGCTCATAAATATGCATGGGAGGGCGGGGCTCATGAATATTCATGTGGAGGCCGGGGCTCATGAATATTGATGGAGAGGGCGGGGCTCATGAATATTAATGGCAAGGGTGGGGCTCATGAATGTTCATGGGGAGGCCGGGGCTAATTAATATTCATGGGGAGGGCGGGGCTCATTAATATTCATGTGGAGGGCGGGACTCATGTATATTCATAGGGAGGGCAGGGCTCATGAATATTCATGGAGAGGGCGGGGATCATGAATATTCATAGATAGGGCGTCTTTATCTCTCTATGTCTCACTGTGTCTCTGTGTCTCTCTGTGTGTCTCTGTGTCTCACTGTGTCTCTGTGTCTCTCTATGTCTCACTGTGTCTCTGTGTCACACTGTGTCTCTGTGTGTCTCTATGTCTCTCTGTGTCTCACTGTGTCTCTGTGTCTCACTGTGTCTCTGTGTCTCTCTATGTCTCTCTGTGTCTCACTGTGTCTCTGTGGGTCTCTGTGTGTCTCTGTGTCTCTCTGTGTGTCTCTGTGTGTGTCTCTGTGTGTCTCTGTGTCTCTGTGTGTCTCTGTGTGTCTCTCTGTGTGTCTCTGTGTGTCTCGGTGTCTCTCTCTGTGTCTCTGTGTGTGTCTCTGTGTCTCTGTGTGTCTCTGTGTGTCTCTCTGTGTGTCTCTGTGTGTCTCTCTGTCTCTCTGTCTCTCTGTGTGTGTCTCTCTGTCTCTCTGTGTCTCTCTGTGTCTCACTGTGTCTCTGTGTCTCTGTGTGTCTCTCTGTGTGTCTCTGTGTGTCTCTGTGTGTCTCTGTGTCTGTGTGTCTCTCTGTGTGTCTCTGTGTGTCTCTGTGTCTCTCTGTGTCTCTGTGTGTCTCTGTGTCTCTGTGTGTCTCTCTGTGTGTCTCTGTGTATCTCTGTGTCTCTGTGTGTCTCTGTGTGTCTCTGTGTCTGTGTGTCAGGTTGTCTCCGTGGAGGGAGGGGTGAGAGACCCTTCCTGTGTCTCTCTGTCTGTGTCTCTGTGTCTCTGTGTCTCTGCGTGTCTCTGTGTCTCTCTGTGTGTGTCTCTGTGTGTGTCTCTGTGTGTCTCTGTGTCTCTCTGTGTGTCTCTCTGTCTCAGGTTGTCTCCGTGGAGGGAGGGGTGAGAGACCCTTCCTGTGTCTCTGTGTGTCTCTGTCTCTCTCTGTGTGTCTCTGTGTGTGTCTCACTGTGTCTCTGTGTCTCTGTGTGTCAGGTTGTCTCCGTGGAGGGAGGGGTGAGAGACCCTTCCTGTGTCTCTCTGTGTGTGTCTCTCTGTGTGTCTCACTGTGTCTCTGTGTCTCTGTCTCAGGTTGTCTCCGTGGAGGGAGGGGTGAGAGACCCTTCCTGTGTCTCTCTGTGTCTCTGTGTGTGTCTCACTGTGTCTGTGTCTCTGTGTGTGTCTCTATGTCTCTCTCTGTGTCTCTGTGTGTCTCAGGTTGTCTCCGTGGAGGGAGGGGTGAGAGACCCTTCCTGTGTCTCTCTGTGTGTCTCTCTGTGTCTCTCTGTGTCTCTGTGTCTCACTGTGTGTGTCTCTCTGTCTCAGGTTGTCTCCGTGGAGGGAGGGGTGAGAGACCCTTCCTATGTCTCTCTGTGTCTCTGTGTGTGTCTCTGTGTGTCTCTGTGTCTCTGTCTCACTGTGTCTGTGTCTCTGTGTCTCTGTGTCTCACTGTGTCTGTGTCTCAGGTTGTCTCCGTGGAGGGAGGGGTGAGAGATCCTTCCTGTGTCTCTCTGTGTCTCTGTGTGTGTCTCTGTGTGTCTCTGTGTCTCTGTCTCACTGTGTCTCTGTGTCTCTGTGTCTCACTGTGTGTCTGTGTCTCAGGTTGTCTCCGTGGAGGGAGGGGTGAGAGACCCTTCCTGTGTCTCTCTGTGTCTCTGTGTGTGTCTCTGTGTGTCTCTGTGTCTCACTGTGTCTGTGTCTCTGTGTCTCTGTGTGTCTGTGTCTCAGGTTGTCTCCGTGGAGGGAGGGGTGAGAGACCCTTCCTGTGTCTCTCTGTGTCTCTCTGTGTCTATCTGTCTCACTGTGTCTCTGTGTGTCTCTGTGTCTCTGTGTGTCTCAGGTTGTCTCCGTGGAGGGAGGGGTGAGAGACCCTTCCTGTGTCTCTCTCTGTCTCTGTGTGTGTCTGTGTGTGTGTCTCTGTGTGTCTCTGTGTCTCACTGTGTCTGTCTCAGGTTGTCTCCGTGGAGGGAGGGGTGAGAGACCCTTCCTGTGTCTCTCTGTGTCTCTGTGTGTCTCACTGTGTCTGTGTCTCAGGTTGTCTCCGTGGAGGGAGGGGTGAGAGACCCTTCCTGTGTCTCTGTGTGTGTCTCTCTCTGTGTCTCTGTGTCTCTCTCTGTGTGTGTGTCTCTGTGTCTCAAGTTGTCTCCGTGGAGGGAGGGGTGAGAGACCCTTCCTGTGTCTCTCTGTGTCTCTGTGTGTGTCTCTGTGTCTCACTGTGTCTCTGTGTGTCTCTGTGTGTGTGTCTCTGTGTCTCTATGTGTCTCTCTCTGTCTTTGTGTGTGTCTGTGTGTCTCTGTGTCTCACTGTGTCTGTGTCTCAGGTTGTCTCCGTGGAGGGAGGGGTGAGAGACCCTTCCTGTGTCTCTCTGTCTCTGTGTGTGTCTCACTGTGTGTCTCTGTGTCTCTATGTCTCTCTCTGTGTCTCTGTGTCTCAGGTTGTCTCCGTGGAGGGAGGGGTGAGAGACCCTTCCTGTGTCTCTCTGTGTGTCTCTCTGTCTCACTATGTCTGTGTCTCTGTGTCTCTGTCTCAGGTTGTCTCCGTGGAGGGAGGGGTGAGAGACCCTTCCTGTGTCTCTCTGTGTCTTTCTGTCTCACTGTGTCTCAGGTTGTCTCCGTGGAGGGAGGGGTGAGAGACCCTTCCTGTGTCTCTCTGTGTCTCTGTCTCACTGTGTCTCTGTGTCTCACTGTGTGTCTGTGTGTCTCAGGTTGTCTCCGTGGAGGGAGGGGTGAGAGACCCTTCCTGTGTCTCTCTGTCTCTGTGTCTCTCTGTGTGTGTCTGTGTGTGTCTCTGTGTCTCTGTGTGTCTCAGGTTGTCTCCGTGGAGGGAGGGGTGAGAGACCCTTCCTGTGTCTCTCTGTGTCTCTCTGTCTCTGTGTCTCACTGTGTGTCTCTGTGTGTCTCAGGTTGTCTCCGTGGAGGGAGGGGTGAGAGACCCTTCCTGTGTCTTTCTGTGTCTCTCTGTCTCTGTGTGTGTCTCTGTGTGTCTCTGTATCTCTGTCTCACTGTGTCTGTGTCTCTGTGTCTCTGTGTGTCTGTGTGTCTCTGTGTGTCTCAGGTTGTCTCCGTGGAGGGAGAGGTGAGAGACCCTTCCTGTGTCTCTGTGTGTGTCTCTCTCTGTGTCTGTGTGTCTCTGTGTCTCTGTGTCTCACTGTGTGTCTCTCTGTGTCTCAGGTTGTCTCCGTGGAGGGAGGGGTGAGAGACCCTTCCTGTGTCTCTCTGTGTCTCTGTGTGTGTCTCACTGTGTGTGTCTCTATGTCTCACTGTCTCTCTGTGTCTCAGGTTGTCTCCGTGGAGGGAGGGGTGAGAGACCCTTCCTGTGTCTCTCTGTGTGTGTCTCACTGTGTCTGTGTCTCTGTGTGTCTCACTGTCTCTGTGTGTCTCAGGTTGTCTCCGTGGAGGGAGGGGTGAGAGACCCTTCCTGTGTCTCTCTGTGTCTGTGTGTGTCTGTGTGTCTCACTGTGTCTGTCTCAGGTTGTCTCCGTGGAGGGAGGGGTGAGAGACCCTTCCTGTGTCTCTCTGTGTCTGTGTGTGTCTGTGTGTCTCACTGTGTCTGTCTCAGGTTGTCTCCGTGGAGGGAGGGGTGAGAGACCCTTCCTGTGTCTCTCTGTGTGTGTCTCACTGTGTCTGTGTCTCTGTGTGTCTCACTGTCTCTGTGTGTCTCAGGTTGTCTCCGTGGAGGGAGGGGTGAGAGACCCTTCATGTGTCTCACTGTGTCTCTGTGTCTGTGTGTGTGTCTCTGTGTCTCTGTCTCACTGTGTCTCCGTCTCAGGTTGTCTCCGTGGAGGGAGGGGTGAGAGACCCTTCCTGTGTCTCTCTGTGTCTCTCTGTCTGTGTGTGTGTGTCTCTGTGTGTGTCTCTGTGTGTCTCTGTGTCTCTGTCTCACTGTGTCTGTGTCTCTGTGTCTCTGTGTGTCTCACTGTGTGTCTGTGTCTCAGGTTGTCTCCGTGGAGGGAGGGGTGAGAGACCCTTCCTGTGTCTCTCTGTGTGTGTCTCACTGTGTCTCTGTGTCTCTGTGTGTCTCTCTGTGTCTGTGTCAGGTTGTCTCCGTGGAGGGAGGGGTGAGAGACCCTTCCTGTGTCTCTCTGTCTCTCTGTGTGTCTGTGTCAGGTTGTCTCCGTGGAGGGAGGGGTGAGAGACCCTTCCTGTGTCTCTCTGTGTCTCACTGTGTGTCTCTCTGTGTCTCAGGTTGTCTCCGTGGAGGGAGGGGTGAGAGACCCTTCCTGTGTCTCTCCGCTCTGGCCATGGCTGAGCAGGCAGGTGGCACCATGCCCAGCTCCCAGCGAGCCTCCACGTTCATCTGCAGCGCCATGGAAGCAGCTCGCTCGGCCAGCCTGCCTGGAAGACTCGCAGCGGTGGGTGGGTGGGTGGCAGGGTGGGTGGCAGGGTGGGTGGGTGGGTGGGTCACAGGGTGGGTGGCAGGGTGGGTGGGTGGCAGGGTGGGTGGGTGGCAGGGTGGGTGGGTGGATGGGTGGGTGGCAGGGTGGGTGGGTGGGTGACAGGGTGGGTGGGTGACAGGGTGGGTGGGTGAGTGAGTGAGTGACAGAATGTGTGACAGGGTGAGTGGGTGGGTGAGTGCGTGAGTGAGTGGGTGGGTGAGTGAGTGGTGAGTGAGTGGGTGGGTTAGTGGGTGAATGGGTGAGTGAGTGAGTGGGTGGGTGGGTGAGTGAGTGAGTGGGTGGGTGGGTGAGTGAGTGAGTGAGTGGTGAGTGAGTGGGTGAGTGAGTGGGTGATTGAGTGAGTGAGTGGTGACTGAGTGAGTGGGTGAGTGAGTGACTGGGTGAGTGACTGGTGAGTGACTGAGTGAGTGACTGGTGAGTGACTGGGTGAGTGAGTGAGTGACTGGGTGAGTGACTGGGTGAGTGAGTGACTGAGTGAGTGACTGGTGAGTGAGTGAGTGAGTGACTGGTGAGTGACTGGGTGAGTGAGTGAGTGACTGGGTGAGTGACTGGGTGAGTGACTGGGTGAGTGAGTGACTGGGTCAGTGACTGGTGAGTGACTGGTGAGTGACTGGTGAGTGACTGGGTGAGTGACTGGGTGAGTGAGTGAGTGAGTGACTGGGTGAGTGACTGGGTGAGTGACTGGGTGAGTAAGTGACTGGGTGAGTGACTGGGTGAGTGACTGGGTGAGTGACTGGGTGAGTGAGTTAGTGAGTGACTGGGTGAGTGACTGGGTGAGTGACTGGGTGAGTGAGTTAGTGAGTGACTGGGTGAGTGACTGGGTGGGTGAGTGACTGGTGAGTCTGTCCACCCTCTCCTCACCAGCGATGGCTACTCCGCTGTGCCCGGCACGTCTCTCCACGTTCTGTGTGGCTGAGTTCTTCACACGCTGTGGTGCAGTGAGTGACTGGTGAGTGACTGAGTGAGTGACTGGGTTAGTGACTGAGTGAGTGACTGAGTGAGTGAGTGACTGGGTGAGTGACTGGGTGAGTGAGTGAGTGACTGAGTGAGTGACTGGGTGAGTGAGTGAGTGGGTGAGTGACTGGGTGAGTGACTGAGTCGGTGAGTGACTGGTGAGTGACTGGTGAGTGACTGGGTGAGTGACTGGGTGAGTGACTGGTGAGTCTTCCCACCCTCTCCTCACCCTCTCCTCACCAGCGATGGCTACTCCGCTGTGCCCGGCACGTCTCTCCACGTTCTGTGTGGCTGAGTTCTTCACACGCTGTGGTGCAGTGAGTGAGTGACTGGGTGAGTGACTGGGTGAGTGACTGGGTGAGTGAGTGAGTGACTGGGTGAGTGACTGGGTGAGTGACTGAGTGAGTGAGTGACTGGGTGAGTGAGTGAGTGAGTGGGTGAGTGAGTGAGTGACTGGGTGAGTGACTGGGTGAGTGACTGGGTGAGTGACTGGTGAGTGACTGGTGAGTCTTCCCACTCTCTCCTCACCCTCTCCTCACCAGCGATGGCTACTCCGCTGTGCCCGGCACGTCTCTCCACGTTCTGTGTGGCTGAGTTCTTCACACGCTGTGGTGCAGTGAGTGAGTGGGTGAGTGACTGGGTGAGTGACTGGGTGAGTGACTGGGTGAGTGAGTGAGTAACTGGGTGAGTGAGTGAGTGAGTGACTGAGTGAGTGGGTGAGTGACTGGGTGAGTGAGTGAGTGGGTGAGTGACTGGGTGAGTGGGTGAGTGACTGGGTGAGTGACTGGGTGAGTGAGTGAGTGACTGAGTGAGTGGGTGAGTGACTGGGTGAGTGAGTGACTGGGTGAGTGACTGGGTGAGTGACTGGGTGAGTGAATGGGTGACTGAGAGACTGGGTGAGTGAGTGACTGGGTGAGGGACTGGGTGAGTGACTGAGTTAGTGACTGGTGAGTCTTCCCACCCTCTCCTCACCCTCTCCTCACCAGCGATGGCTACTCTGCTGTGCCCGGCACGTCTCTCCACGTTCTGTGTGGCTGAGTTCTTCACATGCTGTGGTGCAGTGAGTGAGTGGGTGAGTGACTGGGTGAGTGAGTGAGTGACTGGGTGAGTGAGTGAGTGAGTGAGTGACTGGGTGAGTGACTGGTGAGTGAGTGGGTGAGTGAGTGAGTGAGTGACTGGGTGAGTGACTGGGTGAGTTACTGGGTGGGTGAGTGAGTGAGTGACTGGGTGAGTGACTGGGTGAGTGACTGGGTGAGTGACTGGGTGAGTGACTGGGTGAGTGAGTGACTGGTGAGTGACTGGGTGAGTGACTGGGTGAGTGAGTGAGTGAGTAGGTGAGTGACTGGGTGAGTGACTGGTGAGTGACTGGGTGACTGGGTAAGCGACTGAGTGACTGACTGACTGGGTGAGTGAGTGACTGGGTGAGTGACTGAGTGAGTGACTGGTGAGTCTTCCCACCCTCTCCTCACCCTCTCCTCACCAGCGATGGCTACTCCGCTGTGCCCGGCACGTCTCTCCACGCTCTGTGTGGCTCAGTTCGTCACACGCTGTGGTGCAGTGAGTGAGTGGGTGAGTGAGTCAGTGACTGGGTGAGTGACTGGGTGAGTGAGTGACTGGGTGAGTGACTGAGTGAGTGACTGGGTGAGTGAGTGAGTGAGTGACTGGGTGACTGGGTGAGTGACTGAGTGACTGGGTGAGTGACTGAGTGACTGGGTGAGTAACTGGGTGAGTGAGTGGGTGAGTGACTGGGTGAGTGACAGGGTGAGTGACTGGGTGAGTGAGTGACTGGGTGAGTGACTGGGTGAGTGACTGGGTGAGTGACTGGGTGAGTGACTGAGTGAGTGACTGGTGAGTCTTCCCACCCTCTCCTCACCCTCTCCTCACCAGCGATGGCTACTCCGCTGTGCCCGGCACGTCTCTCCACGTTCTGTGTGGCTGAGTTCTTCACATGCTGTGGTGCAGTGAGTGAGTGGGTGAGTGACTGGGTGAGTGAGTGAGTGACTGGGTGAGTGAGTGAGTGAGTGACTGGGTGAGTGACTGGTGAGTGAGTGGGTGAGTGAGTGAGTGAGTGACTGGGTGAGTGACTGGTGAGTGACTGGGTGGGTGAGTGAGTGAGTGACTGGGTGAGTGACTGGGTGAGTGACTGGGTGAGTGACTGGGTGAGTGAGTGACTGGTGAGTGACTGGGTGAGTGACTGGGTGAGTGAGTGAGTGAGTAGGTGAGTGACTGGGTGAGTGACTGGTGAGTGACTGGGTGACTGGGTGAGCGACTGAGTGACTGACTGACTGGGTGAGTGAGTGACTGGGTGAGTGACTGGTGAGTGACTGGTGAGTCTTCCCACCCTCTCCTCACCCTCTCCTCACCAGCGATGGCTACTCCGCTGTGCCCGGCACGTCTCTCCACGTTCTGTGTGGCTGAGTTCTTCACACGCTGTGGTGCAGTGAGTGAGTGACTGGGTGAGTGAGTGAGTGACTGGGTGAGTGAGTGACTGGTGAGTGACTGGGTGAGTGACTGGTGAGTGACTGGGTGACTGGGTGAGCGACTGAGTGACTGACTGACTGGGTGAGTGAGTGACTGGGTGAGTGACTGAGTGAGTGACTGGTGAGTCTTCCCACCCTCTCCTCACCCTCTCCTCACCAGCGATGGCTACTCCGCTGTGCCCGGCACGTCTCTCCACGCTCTGTGTGGCTGAGTTCTTCACACGCTGTGCGGTTTTTCACTCGTGGAGTTTGGGAGCCAGCAAGCTCCAATTTGTCTCTCTTCACGACTACTCCACCAGGTACTCAACTAGTACTAACTAGTAGTACTAACTAGTACTAACTAGTACTCCACCAGGTACTCAACTAGTACCACTAACTAGTACCACTAACTAGTACTAACTAGTACTCCACCAGGTACTCAACTAGTACTACTAACTAGTACTAACTAGTACTCCACCAGGTACTCAACTAGTACCACTAACTAGTACCAACTAGTACTCCACCAGGTACTCAACTAGTACTAACTAGTACTCCACCAGGTACTCAACTAGTACCACTAACTAGTACCAACTAGTACTAACTAGTACTCCACCAGGTACTCAACTAGTACTACTAACTAGTACTAACTAGTACTACACCAGGTACTCAACTAGTACTACTAACTAGTACCAACTAGTACTCCACCAGGTACTCAACTAGTACTAACTAGTACTAACTAGTACTCCACCAGGTACTCAACTAGTACTACTAACTAGTACCAACTAGTACTAACTAGTACTCCACCAGGTACTCAACTAGTACTACTAACTAGTACCAACTAGTACTAACTAGTACTCCACCAGGTACTCAACTAGTACTAACTAGTACTAACTAGTACCACTATCTAGTACTACTAACTAGTACCAACTAGTACCAACTAGTACTCCACCAGGTACTCAACTAGTACTACTAACTAGTACCAACTAGTACTAACTAGTACTCCACCAGGTACTCAACTAGTACTACTAACTAGTACCACTAACTAGTACTCCACCAGGTACTCAACTAGTACCACTAACTAGTACCACTAACTAGTACTAACTAGTACTCCAACATGTACTCAACTAGTACTACTAACTAGTACCAACTAGTACTAACTAGTACTCCACCATGTACTCAACTAGTACCACTAACTAGTACCACTAACTAGTACTAACTAGTACTCCAACAGGTACTCAACTAGTACTACTAACTAGTACCAACTAGTTCTAACTAGTACTCCACCAGCTACTAAACTAGTACTACTAACTAGTACTAACTAGTACCACTAACTAGTACTAACTAGTACTCCACCAGTTACTCAACTAGTACCACTAACTAGTACCACTAACTAGTAGTACTAACTAGTACTAACTAGTACTACTAGCTAGTAACTAGTACCACTAACTAGTAGTACTAACTAGTTCTAACTAATACTACTAACTAGTAGTGCTAACTAGCGCCACTAACTAGTACTAACTAGTAGTACTAACTAGTAGTACTAACTGGTACCACTAACCAGTACTAACTAGTAGTACTAACTAGTAGACTAACTAGTAGTACTAACTAGTAGTACTAACTAGTACCACCAACTAGTAGTACTAACTAGTACTAACTACTAACTAGTACTAACTAGTGCTAACTACTAACTAGTACTAACTAGTACCACTAACTAGTACGACCAACTACTACTAACTAGTAATTAGTACCACTAACTAGTACTAACTAGTGCCACTAACTAGTTCCAACTAGTAGTAACTAGTACCACAAACTAGTACTAACTAGTACTAACTCGCACTAACTATTAGTACTAACTACTACTAACTAGTAGTAACTAGTAGTAGCTAGTACCACTAACTAGTACTAACTAGTACTACTAACTAGTACTAACTAGTAGTAACTAGTACCACTAACTAGTACTAACTACTACCAACTAGTACTAACTACTAACTAGTACTACTATCTAGTACTAACTAGTACTAGTAACTAGTACCACTAACTAGTAGTACTAACTAGTACCACTGACACCATCACTACTACTCAGTCACTACCATCACTACTACTACACAGAGCCTGTGACCCCACCGTGACCTCCCCGTGACCCCTCCATGACCCCTCCGTGATCCCACCGTGACATCTCCGTGACCCATCCGTGGACCTCCCCGTGACCCCACCGTGACCTCTGTGTGACCTCTCCGCGACCCCTCCATGACCTCCCCGTGACCCCTCTGTGACCTCCCCGTGACCCCACCGTGACCTCTGTGTAACCTCTCCGTGACCTATCAGTGATCTCTGTCGCATCACCGTGACCCCTCCGTGACCTTGGTGACCTCTGCTTGACCTCTGCGTGACCTCTGCGTGACCTCTCAGTGATCTCTGTCGCATCACCGTGACCCCTCCGTGACCTTAGTGACCTCTGCTTGACCTCTGCGTGACCTCTCAGTGATCTCTGTCGCATCACCGTGACCCCTCCGTGGCCTTAGTGACCTCTGCTTGACCTCTTCTTGACCTCTGCGTGACCTCTGCGTGACCTCTGCGTGACCTCTCAGTGATCTCTGTCGCATCACCGTGACCTTGGCGACCTTAGTGACCTCTGCGTGACCTCTGTGTGACCTCTGCGTGACCTCTGCGTGACCTCCTCAGGCCTCCCCGTGCAGCGCTTTGTGCAGGCCCTGAGGGAGCACCTTCTGGAACGTTCTGTCAACGCGGCTCTCAGCCTGCCAGCTGCCCACTCAGCTACACACTCAGCTACTCACTCACGGTGAGAACCACTCAGATACACACTCAGATACTCACTCAGCTACTCACTCAGCTACACACTCACGGTGAGAACCACTCAGATACACACTCAGATACACACTCACTCAGATACTCACTCAGCTACACACTCAGCTACACACTCACTCACTCAGATACTCACTCAGATACACACTCACTCAGCTACACACTCAGCTACACACTTACGGTGAGAACCACTCAGATACACACTCAGCTACACACTCACTCAGATACTCACTCAGCTACACACTCAGATACTCACTCACAGTGAGAACCACTCAGATACACACTCAGCTACACACTCACTCAGATACACACTCAGCTACACACTCAGATACTCACTCACGGTGAGAACCACTCAGCTACACACTCACGGTGAGAACCACTCACTCAGATACTCACTCACTCAGATACTCACTCACTCAGATACTCACTCAGCTACACACTCAGCTACTCACTCACGGTGAAAACCACTCAGATACACACTCACTCACTCAGATACACACTCACTCACTCAGCTACACACTCACGGTGAGAACCACTCACTCAGATACTCACTCACTCACTCAGCTACACACTCAGATACTCACTCACGGTGAGAACCACTCAGCTACACACTCAGCTACTCACTCAGATACTCACTCACGGTGAGAACCACTCAGATACACACTCACTCACTCAGATACTCACTCAGATACTCACTCAGATACACACTCAGCTACACACTCACGGTGAGAACCACTCAGCTACACACTCAGCTACACACTCAGCTACTCACTCACGGTGAAAACCACTCAGATACTCACTCAGCTACACACTCACGGTGAGAACCACACACTCAGCTACTCACTCAGCTACTCACTCACGGTGAGAACCACTCAGCTACACACTCAGATACACACTCACTCAGATACTCACTCAGCTACACACTCAGCTACACACTCACTCAGATACTCACTCAGATACACACTCAGCTACACACTCAGATACACACTCACGGTGAGAACCACTCACTCAGCTACACACTCACTCAGATACTCACTCACTCAGATACTCACTCAGCTACACACTCAGCTACACACTCACGGTGAGAACCACTCACTCAGATACACACTCACTCAGATACTCAGATACTCACTCAGATACTCACTCAGCTACACACTCAGCTACACACTCAGCTACACACTCACGGTGAGAACCACTCACTCAGCTACTCACTCAGCTACACACTCACGGTGAGAACCACTCAGATACACACTCAGATACTCACTCAGATACTCACTCACGGTGAGAACCACTCACTCAGATACTCACTCAGATACTCACTCACGGTGAGAACCACTCACTCAGATACTCACTCACTCAGATACTCACGGTGAGAACCACTCACTCAGATACTCACTCACTACTCACTCACTACTCACTCAGCTACACACTCACGGTGAGAACCACTCACTCAGATACACACTCACGGTGAGAACCACTCAGATACACACTCACTCACTCAGCTACACACTCACGGTGAGAACCACTCACTCAGATACACACTCACGGTGAGAACCACTCACTCAGATACTCACTCAGCTGCCCACTCAGCTACACACTCACGGTGAGAACCACTCAGATACACACTCACTCACTCAGATACTCACTCACGGTGAGAACCACTCAGATACACACTCACTCACTCAGATACTCACTCACGGTGAGTACCACACACTCAGATACTCACTCAGATACTCACTCAGCTACTCACTCACGGTGAGAACCACTCAGCTACACACTCACTCAGATACTCACTCAGCTACACACTCAGCTACACACTCACGGTGAGAACCACTCACTCAGATACACACTCACTCAGCTACACACTCACGGTGAGAACCACTCACTCAGATACACACTCACTCACTCAGCTGCTCACTCAGCTACCCACTCAGCTACACACTCACGGTGAGAACCACTCAGATACTCACTCAGCTACACACTCACTCAGCTACCCACTAACGGTGAGAACCACACTCACTACTCACTCAGCTACTCACTCACTCAGATACTCACTCAGCTACTCTCTCACTCAGCTACTCACTCAGCTACCCCACTCAGCTACCCACTCACGGTGAGAACCACACACTCAGATACTCACTCAGCTACCCACTCAGATACTCACTCACTCAGATACTCACTCAGCTACTCACTCACTCAGCTACTCACTCAGCTACTCTCTCACTCAGCTACTCACTCACCTGCCCACTCAGCTGCCCACTCACGGTGAGAACCACTCACTCAGCTACACACTCAGCTACTCACTCACGGTGAGAACCACGTAATCGGATACTCACTCAGATACTCACTCAGATACTCACTCAGCTACCCACTCAGCTACTCACTCACTCAGCGGCCCACTCAGCTACTCACTCACTCAGATACTCACTCAGCTACTCACTCAGCTGCCCACTCAGCTGCCCACTCACTCAGCTACTCACTCACAGTGAGAACCACACACTCATTACTCACTCAGCTACACACTCACTCAGATACTCATTCAGCTGCCCACTCAGCTGCCCACTCACGGTGAGAACCACGCACTCAGATACTCATTCAGCTACCCACTCACTCACTCAGCTACTCACTCACGGTGAGAACCACACACTCACTACTCACTCACTCAGCTACCCACTCAGCTACTCATTCAGCTACCCACTCACTCAGCTACACACTCAGCTACTCACTCAGCTGCCCACTCACGGTGAGAAACACACTCACTACTCACTCAGCTATTCACTCACTCAGCTACCCACTCACGGTGAGAAACACTCACTCAGCTACCCACTCACTCAGCTACCCACTCACTCAGCTACCCACTCACTCAGCTACCCACTCAGCTACCCACTCACTCAGCTACACACTCAGCTACTCACTCACGGTGAGAACCACACTCACTACTCACTCTACTCACTCAGCTACCCACTCACGGTGAGAACCACACTCACTACTCACTCTACTCACTCAGCTACTCACTCAGCTACCCACTCACGGTGAGAACCACACACTCAGCTACTCACTCAGCTACTCACTCAGCTCCCCACGGTGAGAACCACACACTCAGCTACTCACTCAGCTACTCAGCTACCCACGGTGAGAACCACACACTCAGCTACCCACTCAGCTACTCACTCAGCTGCCCACTCACGGTGAGAAACACACTCACTACTCACTCAGCTATTCACTCACTCAGCTACCCACTCACGGTGAGAAACACTCACTCAGCTACCCACTCACTCAGCTACCCACTCACTCAGCTACCCACTCACTCAGCTACCCACTCAGCTACCCACTCAGCTACACACTCAGCTGCCCACTCACGGTGAGAACCACGCACTTGTTGTTGTTGTTGTTGATGTTGTTGTTGATGTTGTTGATGTTGTTGTTAGTGATGTTGTTGTTGATGTTGTTGTTGATGTTGTTGATGTTGTTAGTGTTGTTGTTGTTGATGTTGTGTTGTTGTTAGTGTTGATGATGTTAGTGATGTTGTTGTTGATGATGTTAGTGATGTTGTGTTGTTGATGTTGTTGATGTTGTTAGTGATGTTGTTGATGTTGTTGATGTTGTTGTTGATGTTGTTGTTGATGTTGTTGATGTTGTTGTGATGATGTTGATGTTGTTGATGTTGTTGTTGTTGATGTTGTTGTTAGTGTTGTTGTTGATGTTGTTGATGTTGTTAGTGATGATGTTAGTGATGTTAGTGTTGTTGTTGTTGATGATGTTGTTGTTGTTAGTGATGTTGATGTTGTTAGTGATGATGTTAGTGATGTTGTTGATGTTGTTAGTGATGATGTTAGTGATGTTAGTGTTGTTGTTAGTGATGTTGTTGTTAGTGTTAGTGATGTTGTTGTTGATGTTGTTAGTGTTGTTGTTAGTGATGTTGTTAGTGATGATGTTAGTGATGTTGTTAGTGTATATGATGATGTTAGTAATGTTAGTGTTAGTGATGTTGTTGATGATGTTGTTGTTGATGTTAGTGTTGTTGTTGTTGATGTTGTTGTTGATGTTGTTAGTGATGATGATGTTAATGATGTTAGTGTTAGTGATGTTGTTGTTGATGTTGTTAGTGTTGTTGTTGATGATGTTAGTGTTGTTGTTGATGATGTTGTTAGTGATGTTAGTGTTGTTGTTGTTAGTGATGTTAGTGTTAGTGTTGTTGATGTTGTTAGTGATGTTAGTGTTAGTGATGTTAGTGATGTTGTTGTTGTTGATGTTTCAGGACCTACACGGAAGCGCTGCAGCTTCTGCAGCTTGTCATCGACTCCTCTGAAGGCGACAATGAAGGAGATGGTCAGCGTGCACCTAGCCTGGCACCTGGGTGCATGCCAGAGAGAGTGTGCACGTGTGTGTGTGTGTACGGGTGTGTGTGTACACGTGTGTGTGTACACGTGTGTGTGTGTGTACACGTGCATGTGTGTGTGTGTGCGTGTGTGTGTACATGTGTGTGTACATGTGTGTGTGTATGTGTGTACACGTGTATGTGTGTACGCGTGTGTGTACGCGTGTGTGTGTGTGTGCGTGTGTGTGTACGTGCGTGTGTGTACGTGTGTGTATGTGTGTACACGTGTGTGTGTGTGTGTATGTGTGTACACGTGTGTGTGTGTACGTGCGTACGCGCGTGTGTGTGTGTACGTGTGTATGCGCGTGTGTGTGTGTACGTGTGTGTGTACGCGTGTGTGTGTGTACGTGCGTGTGTGTACGCGTGTGTGTGTGTGTGTACGTGTGTGTGTACACGTGTGTGTGTGCAAAACAACCCCCTACCTCCTCGCGGTGCCGTAAGGGGCAACTCTGTCGTGGACAATGCTGTGGGGGGAGGGCCAATTCCGATTGGCTCCTCCCCTCATGGCGTCTGTGACCACCACAGGGGCTAAACGGGGGCTCTGGACGGGTGCGAGGGGCTGGTAACCCCTCCACCTTCAATAAATTACCACTAAACCACGAGTTAAATTGAAATATGTAACTAATAAGCTTGTGCCGGAGGCCCGGGGGGACAGGCGTCTATGACGTCTCCTGGCCAAACCCCAATTGGCGGAGCCAGGAGATTGAATCTCTACCCTCGGGGCTCCTCCAGAAACAACGAAAAGCCACTACGGATGGCCACGTGGAATGTTCGAACGCTCACTGCGGAGGAGAGGCTGCCACTCCTCTGTCGGGAGCTGGACCGGTACCGCCTGGATCTCTGTGGCATTCAGGAGGTCCCGTGGACCGGTTCTGGCTCCTGCCACCATGAGGGGTGGACAGTCCTTTACTCGGGGCAGCAGACTGCCAAACAACAGGGAGTGGCTCTTCTTTTGAACAAAAGAATGAAGAGGGGCGTGGGAGTGATTGAAGGGCATGGGCCAGATCAGCTCAATAACAACGGTAGGAGGCTGCTAGATTTTTGTGCAGCCCATGGGCTTGTAATTACCAACACGCTGTTCCGGCATCGGCGCATCCACACAACATCATGGATGCATGCCGGGTCCAAGCAAGAACATCTGCTGGACTACATAGTGACGGACCAGCGGATGCGAGCCCATGTCCTTGACACCAGGACCTACCGTGGAGCTCATCTGCCCTCTGATCATTGACTAGTCATTTTTAAGATGCGCCTGCCATTCTTCCACTCCGGTGGTGGGTGTACATCCAGGACCCCATTCGTCCTGATGTCGAGGGTAAATGGGCGAGGTTTAGGACTGTGACTCATGCAGCTGCAGTGGTTGCTTTGGGTACGCGGTCCAGACCTCCCCAGAGACCCTGGCTGACAGATGAGGTATTCAAGCTGGCTGAGAAAAAGAGACAGGCCCACTGTCATCGGCTATAGAATCCCACGTCAAGAGAATGAGGAGGCTTACCGCAGTCTTCGCTCTGAGGTTCGGAGAGCCGTGAGGTGCTGCAAGGATGGGTGGTGGTCGCGGGTTGCTCAGGAGATGGAGTCTGCCTCAGTGGCCCGTGATCACAAATCTCTATTTAACTCCATCAAAAAAGTAACCTGCAGCGCCACACCTATTACCATCATTAGGGGAAAAAACGGTGATCCAATCTCCGACCCCCAGGAACAGGTTTGCAGATTTGCTGAGCATTTCTGTGAGGTCCTGGGGGAGTGGAAATCCCTCAGCCAGGAAAACATCGTGGCAAAAAGTGAGGATGACCGTGCTGAGGCTGCGGTGCCTCAAATATTGGAGGAAGTCACCCCCTGTGAGTGGCTGGCTGAGGTGCCATCTGTTGAAGAAGTACTGAAGGCAATCCGGAATCGGGAAAGGCACCGGGCAGAGATGATGTCCCAAGCAAAATGCTGAGGGAGGGTGGCGTTTGTGCACAGACTGCCCTATATGACATCATAACAACAGTCTGGACCACTGGACAGGTTCCGCAGGAATGGAAGGATGCCCTAGTGGTCCCCCTTTTTAAGAAGGGGGACCACACAGACTGTAACAACTACAGGGGCATCTCACTCCTCAGTGTGCCGGGAAAGGTCCTGGCAAGGATTATTCAGCATCGCCTTGCCAGGCACGCTGCGGAGAGGCTTGCGGAGCCCCAATGCGGTTTCAGGAAAGGGCGGTCCTGCACAGATGCCATATTTTCTGTCCATCTGCTACAGCAGAGGTGTAGGGAATTCCAGCAAGACCTACATCTCTGCTTTATTGACCTGGTCAAGGCCTATGATACCATCAGTAGGCCTGGGCTCTGGGTTGTTCTTCGTGCTTTTGGAGTCCCTGACCCTCTGCTCACAATCATTAAGGACCTTCATGATGGTGAGCGGGCCCGGGTAAAACTACGTGGCCGGGAGTCAGAGCCATTCCCTGTACACCTTAGGGTGCGACAGGGATGTCCTCTGGCTCCCACATTTAACATCTATTTTGACCACATAGTTCGTGAAGCCTTCAATAGCTATACCGGGGGAATCTCCATTTGGTACAGAAATAATGGGAGGCTGTTTGATGCCTGGGTGCGGTCAAGGGATGGCTCCCTATTGCTCAACCACGTTATGTATGCTGATGATTTGGTAATAGCTGCTCAGTCAGAGGAGGAGTTGGAGACGCTGCTGCTGAGACTGGAGCGTGCCACTAAGAGGTGGGGCCTTACCATCAGCCCCACCAAAACTAAGCACCTGCCTGGGTATTTTGTACCATCGGACACTCCACCCCCACAACTCCCAATCGGTGATGGGGCAGTTGTGGAGAGAGTGGAGAGTTTCCCATACCTGGGCAGTGTGCTTATGACTGGCTCCAGTTTAACAGCAGAGGTCTCACTCCGAATCAGTCGAACGGCAATATCTTTTCATCGGTTGCGTAACGCTGTGTGGAAGCTAACTGGTCTGTCGCTCCGCACTAAGCTTCAGGTCTTCTCGGCCACGGTCATTCCCTCCCTTCTCTACGCTTGCGAAACGTGGACCCCCCTAATGGAACATCTTCGCCGGTTAGAAACATTTAGGCTGGCCTGCCTACAATCCATCCTGGGTTTAACCAGACTGGAGTGTATGAGGAGCTCACAAATCCTTGAAAGATCTGGGCAAGGTCCCATCGGTGAGCTCCTCCGGCGGGCAAGGCTGCGATGGCTGGGTCATGTAGCCCGCATGCCCAGCCACCGCATGCCGAAACAGCTTTTGTTCGGCCGGATCGAGGGGGCTAAGCGGGCGCGGCACGGGCTAGAGAAGAGATGGAGTGATGTGGTACAGGAGGACGTGGAGCTGAGTGGACTTGCCGATGACCGGTACCAGCGGTGTCAAGATCGGCCTCTGTGGAGGAGGCTCATGAAGGACGCTGCTACTGGGCAGTTGGAGGCAGTCGCCCTCCAACAACAACGGAGGGCGGAGGAGCGACGCTCAGAACAACGAGCGGAGTGCCGGGTGGCTAAAGCACAGCAGGTTGGCACAGTAGGAGGCACAGGTGGTGCATCAGCCACTCATCTCAGTCAGTCGACCCGTGGCACCTGCTGGGTCTGCCCCGTGACCTCCTGCCAGCGGGCGTTCGACACTTCACGTGGCCTCAGGGTGCACATAGCCTGGCACAAGCGTCGTGGTGACGTCACCGCCACTTAGTAGCGAATGGCGGTTGTTGTTGTTGTGTGTCTGTGTGTGTCTGTGTGTCTCTGTGTGTCTCTGTGTGTGTGTCTGTGTGTGTCTCTGTGTGTGTGTCTCTGTGTGTGCGTGTGTCTCTGTGTGTGTGTGTGTCTCTGTGTGTGTGTGTGTCTCTGTGTGTGTGTCTCTGTGTGTGTGTATGTCTGTGTGTGTGTCTGTGTGTGCGTGTGTCTGTGTGTGTGTAGCTCTGTGTATCTCTGTGTGTGTGTGTCTGTGTGTGTCTGTGTGTGTGTGTGTAGCTCTGTGTGTCTGTGTGTGTGTCGGTGTGTGTGTCTGTGTGTGCGTGTGTCTGTGTGTGTAGCTCTGTGTGTCTCTGTGTGTGTAGCTCTGTGTGTCTGTGTATGCGTGTGTCTGTGTGTGTAGCTCTGTGTGTCTGTGTGTGTGTCGGTGTGTGTGTCTGTGTGTGCGTGTGTCTGTGTGTGTAGCTCTGTGTGTCTCTGTGTGTGTAGCTCTGTGTGTCTCTGTGTGTCGGTGCTCACCAGGTGAGCGTGACGAGGTGAGCGAGTGGTGGGCGCGTGTAGCTCTGTGTGTGTAGCTCTGTGTGTGTGTGTCTGTGTGTGTCTGTGTGTGTGTGTAGCTCTGTGTGTCTCTGTGTGTGTGTCTGTGTGTGTGTCTGTGTGTGTGTGTCTGTGTGTGTAGCTCTGTGTGTCTCTGTGTGTGTGTCGGTGTGTGTGTCTGTGTGTGTAGCTCTGTGTGTCTCTGTGTGTGTGTCGGTGTGTGTGTCTGTGTGTGTGTGTCTGTGTGTCTGTGTGTGTAGCTCTGTGTGTCTCTGTGTGTGTGTGTCTGTGCTCACCAGGTGAGCGTGACGAGGTGAGCGAGTGGTGGGCGCGTGTAGCTCTGTGTGTCTCTGTGTGTGTGTCTGTGCTCACCAGGTGAGCGTGACGAGGTGAGCGAGTGGTGGGCGCGTGTAGCTCTGTGTGTGTGTCTGTGTGTGTGTCTGTGTGTGTGTGTGTAGCTCTGTGTGTGTCTGTGTGTGTGTCTGTGCTCACCAGGTGAGCGTGACGAGGTGAGCGAGTGGTGGGCGCGTGTATCTCTGCTGTGGCTGCTCTGCTCACGGAGTCAAGCGGAGAGGTCCCTGCTGCGGCTGTGGGCGCAGCTAAGGGCACCACCGGTCCAGCTCACAGACTCACGGTAGCCATGCAGACTCACACACTCACAGACTCACTCACAGACTCACGGTAGCCATGCAGACTCACCCACAGACTCACAGACTCACTCACAGACTCACGGTAGCCATGCAGACTCACCCACAGACTCACCCACAGACTCACCCACAGACTCACCCACAGACTCACAGACTCATCCACAGACTCACGGTAGCCATGCAGACTCACCCACAGACTCACCCACAGACTCACCCACAGACTCACCCACAGACCCACAGACTCACCCACAGACTCACTCACAGACTCACCCACAGACTCACTCACAGACTCACTCACATACTCACTCACAGACTCACCCACAGACTCACCCACAGACCCACAGACTCACCCACAGACTCACCCACAGACTCACCCACAGACCCACAGACTCACCCACAGACTCACCCACAGACTCACTCACAGACTCACCCACAGACTTACCCACAGACTCACTCACAGACTCACCCACAGACTCACCCACAGACTCACTCACAGACTCACCCACAGACTCACCCACAGAATCACCCACAGACTCACCCACAGACTCACAGACTCACCCACAGACCCACAGACTCACCCACAGACTCACCCACAGACTCACCCACAGACCCACAGACCCACAGACTCACCCACAGACTCACCCACAGACTCACTCACAGACTCACTCACAGACTCACAGACTCACTCACAGACTCACTCACCCACAGACTCACCCACAGACTCACCCACAGACTCACCCACAGACTCACCCACAGACCCCTCCCCCCCTCCCCCCTCCCACCCCCCCCTCCCCTCTCCCAGTGACCCGCTCGTGGCGGCGGCCATTTTATTGGTGAGGGCGCGCGTGGGGGTGGAGCTCCCCGCGAGGACCCCACCTGCCCCGCCCCCGCGGGGAGGAGCCACGCCCCAAGGCCCCGCCCCCCGCCCCCAGGGGCGCCCGGGGTGCCCAGCGCAGTGCCTGACGGACTGCGACTGGGCCGGCCTCGCCCTTGGTGACAGCGTCAGGGCACAGCCCACGGCCACCTCCGTCTACCAGGGGGGGGTGGGGGGAGGGGTGGTGGGGGGGGAGGGGCAATGGGGGGTTGGGGGTGGGGCTCTGGGATCTAACAAACGCCTGCACTACTGCTGCTGATATAATCTACACTGTGGTGGTGGTGGTGATGATGATGATGATAACATCAGCCACTTGATGTTCGCAGTAGTTTAGTCTGTGGGTCTCTCTGTGTATTTCTCTGCGTGTCTATGCATCTCTTATGCGTCTCTTTGTAAAGTCAATGGGTCTCTATGCGTGTGTATGTGTATGTGACTGGCTCCAGTTTAACAGCAGAGGTCTCACTCCGAATCAGTCGAGCGGCAATATCTTTTCATCGGTTGCGTAACGCTGTGTGGAAGCTACCTGGTCTGTCGCTCCGCACTAAGCTTCAGGTCTTCTCGGCCACGGTCATTCCCTCCCTTCTCTACGCTTGCGAAACGTGGACCCCCCTAATGGAACATCTTCGCCGGTTAGAAACATTTAGGCTGGCCTGCCTACGATCCATCCTGGGTTTAACCAGACTGGATTGTGTGAGGAGCTCGCAATTCCTTGAAAGATCTGGGCGGGGTCCCATCGGTGAGCTCCTCCGGCAGGCAAGGCTGCGATGGCTGGGTCATGTAGCCCGCATGCCCAGCCACCGCATGCCGAAACAGCTTTTGTTTGGCCGGATTGAGGGGGCTAAGCGGGCGCGGCACGGGCTAGAGAAGAGATGGAGTGATGTGGTACAGGAGGACGTGGAGCTGAGTGGACTTGCCGATGACTGGTACCAGCGGTGTCAAGATCGGCCTCTGTGGAGGAGGCTCGTGAAGGATGCTACTGGGCAGTTGGAGGCAGTCGCCCTCCAACAACAACGGAGGGCGGAGGAGCGACGCTCAGAACAACGAGCGGAGCGCCGGGTGGCTAAAGCACAGCAGGTTGGCACAGTAGGGGGCACAGGTGGTGCATCAGCCAGTCATCTCAGTCAGTCGACCCGTGGCACCTGGGTCTGCCCAGTGACCTCCTGCCATCGGGCGTTCGACACTTCACGTGGCCTCACGGTGCACATAGCCTGGCACAAGCGCCGTGGTGACATCACCGCCACTTAGTGGCGAATGGCGGTTGTTGTTGTTATCTCTATCTATCTCTATGTAACGCGCTGGGTCTCTATGTCTCTGTATGTGTCTATGGATCTGTGTGTGTGTGTCTATGGATCTCTGTGTATCTCTATGTATCTCTATGTAACTCTCTGGGTCTCTATGTGTCTGTGTGTGTCTATGGATCTGTGTGTGTGTATATCTCTATGTATCTCTATGTGTCTCTATGTCTCTGTGTGTGTCTATGTATCTCTATGTATCTCTATGTCTCTGTGTGTGTCTATGGATCTCTGTGTGTGTATCTCTATGTATCTCTATGTCTCTATGTATCTCTATGTAACTCTCTGGGTCTCTATGTGTCTGTGTGTGTCTATGGATCTCTGTGTGTGTATCTCTATGTATCTCTATATCTCTATGTATCGTGCTGGGTCTCTATGTCTGTGTGTGTCTATGGATCTCTGTGTGTGTATCTCTATGTATCTCTATGTCTCTGTGTGTGTCTATGGATCTCTGTGTGTGTGTGCGTGTATCTCTATGTATCTCTATGTATCTCTATGTCTCTGTGTCTATGGATCTCTGTGTGTGTATCTCTATGTATCTGTATGTGTCTTTATGTCTCTGTGTGTGTCTATGGATCTCTGTGTGTGTGTATCTCTATGTAACACTCTGGGTCTCTATGTCTCTGTTTGTGTCTATGTCTCTGTGTGTGTCTATGGATATCTGTGTGTGTGCATCTCTATGTATCTCTATGTAACGTTCTGGGTCTCTATGTCTGTGTGTGTCTATGGATCTCTGTGTGTGTGTATCTCTATGTATCTCTATGTGTCTCTATGTGTCTCTATGTCTCTGTGTGTGTCTATGGATCTCTGTGTGTGTGTGTATCTGTATCTCTATGTATCTCTATGTGTCTCTTATGTCTCTGTGTGTGTCTATGGATCTCTGTGTGTGTATCTCTATGTATCTCTATGTCTCTATGTAACGTTCTGGGTCTCTATGTCTCTGTGTGTGTGTCTATGGATCTGTGTGTGTATCTCTATGTATCTCTATGTCTCTGTGTGTGTCTATGGATCTCTGTGTGTGTATCTCTATGTATCTCTATGTATCTCTATGTCTCTGTGTGTTTTTGGATCTCTATGTATCTCTATGTGTCTCTTATGTCTCTGTGTGTGTCTATGCATCTCTATGTATCTCTATGTGTCTCTATGCCTCTGTGTGTGTCTATGTCTCTGTGTGTGTGCATCTCTATGTATCTCTGTGTCTGTGTGTGTGCATCTCTATGTATCTCTGTGTCTCTGTGTGTCTATGTATCTCTATGTATCTCTGTGTCTCTGTGTGTCTATGTATCTCTATGTATCTCTGTGTCTCTGTGTGTGTCTATGGATCTCTGTGTGTGTGTGTATCTCTATGTATCTCTATGTGTCTCTATGTCTCTGTGTGTATCTCTATGTATCTCTATGTATCTCTGTGTCTCTGTGTGTGTCTATGGATCTGTGTGTGTATCTCTATGTATCTCTATGTCTCTGTGTGTCTCTATGTCTCTGTGTGTGTATCTCTATGTATCTCTATGTATCTCTGTGTCTCTGTGTGTGTCTATGGATCTCTCTGTGTGTGTATCTCTGTATCTCTATGTATCTCTATGTGTCTCTTATGTCTCTGTGTGTGTCTATGGATCTCTGTGGATGATGAGGATGATGATGAAGATGATGATGAGGATGATGAGGATGATGAAGATGATGATGAGGATGATGATGAAGATGATGATGAGGATGATGATGAGGATGATGAGGATGATGATGAGGATGATGAGGATGATGATGAGGATGATGATGAGGATGATGAGGATGATGATGAGGATGATGATGATGAGGATGATGAGGATGATGATGAGGATGATGATGATGAGGATGATGATGATGAGGATGATGATGAGGATGATGGTGATGAGGATGATGGTGATGAGGATGATGATGATGAAGATGATGATGAGGATGATGAAGATGATGATGAAGATGATGAAGATGATGAGGATGATGATGAGGATGATGATGAAGATGATGATGGTGAGGACGATGAGGATGATGATGAGGATGATGATGAAGATGATGAGGATGATGATGATGAGGATGATGATGAGGAGGATGATGAGGATGATGATGAGGATGATGATGAAGATGAGGATGATGAGGACGATGATGAGGATGATGATGAGGATGATGATGAGGATGATGATGAGGAGGATGATGAAGATGATGATGATGAGGATGATGATGAGGATGATGAGGATGATGATGAAGATGATGATGAAGATGATGATGATGAGGATGATGATGAGGAGAATGATGAGGAGGATGATGAGGAGGAGGAGTCTCAGTGAGCCGCTATGCTGCATTGTTGTTGCATTGCATCCTGCAGTGCCTTGTGGGTGCGATGTAGTAACAGTGCTGCACAGAGACCCACACAGACAGAGACAAAGCTCCCCCAGGTAGCCTCTACCAGGGCTGTAGGGGCAAGTGCTGTTAGTAGCGAGTAGCAGCAGCAGTGTCTATGTACTACACACACCACACACAGACAAAGCTCCCCCAGGTAGCCTCTAGCAGGGCTGTAGGGGCAAGTTCTGTTAGCCAGCGAGTAGCAGCAGCAGTGTCTATGTACTACACACACCACACACACAGACAAAGCTACCCCAGGTAGCCTCTAGCAGGGCTGTAGGGGCAAGTGCTGTTAGTAGTGAGTAGCAGCAGCAGTGTCTATGTACTACACACACCACACACAGACAAAGCTCCCCCAGGTAGCCTCTAGCAGGGCTGTAGGGGCAAGTGCTGTTAGTAGCGAGTAGCAGCAGCAGTGTCTATGTACTACACACACCACACACAGACAAAGCTACCCCAGGTAGCCTCTGGCAGGGCTGTAGGGGCAACTGCCTCCAACTGCCCAGTAGCGTCCTTCACGAGCCTCCTCCACAGAGGCCGATCTTGACACCGCTGGTACCGGTCATCGGCAAGTCCACTCAGCTCCACGTCCTCCTGTACCACATCACTCCATCTCTTCTCTAGCCTGTGCCACGCCCGTTTAGCCCCCTCAATCCGGCCGAACAAAAGCTGTTTCGGCATGCAGTGGCTGGGCATGCGGGCTACATGACCCAGCCATCGCAGCCTTGCCTGCCGGAGGAGCTCACCGATGGGACCGTGCCCAGATCTTTCAAGGATTTGTGAGCTCCTCACACAATCCAGCCTGGTTAAACCCAGGATGGATCGTAGGCAGGCCAGCCTAAATGTTTCTAACCGGCGAAAATGTTCCATTAGGGGGGTCCACATTTCGCAAGCGTAGAGAAGGGAGGGAATGACCGTGGCCGAGAAGACCTGAAGCCTAGTGCGGAGCGACAGACCAGGTAGCTTCCACACAGCGTTACGCAACCGATGAAAAGATATTGCCGCTCGACTGATTCGGAGACCTCTGCTGTTAAACCGGAGCCGGTCATAAGCACACTGCCCAGGTATGGGAAACTCTCCACTCTCACCACAACTGCCCCATCACCGATTGGGAGTTGTGGGGGTGGAGTGTCCGATGGTACAAAATACCCAGGCAGGTGCTTAGTTTTGGTGGGGGCTGATGGTAAGGCCCCACCTCTTAGTGGCACGCTCCAGTCTCAGCAGCAGCGTCTCCAACTCCTCCTCTGAATGAGCAGCTATTACCAAATCATCGCCATACATAATGTGGTTGAGCAATAGGGAAAAATCCCTTTACCGCACCCGGGCATCGATCAGCCCTCCCATTATATCTGTACCATATGGAGATTCCCCCGGTACAGCTACTGAAGGCTTCACGAACTACGCGGCCGAAATCGATGGTCGAATCGTGTGGGAGCCAGAGGACACCCCTGCCTCTCACCCCCTGAGGCGTGCAGTTGAACGGCTCTGCCGTGAGCCTGACGATTGC